CTAAGAGAGCGTCGCCGCTTGAAGTTCTGACGAATAAATCGCCAAATTTGCGCAACATCGTCGTGTTTGGCTCCCACTGTACCGTTTACCGTGATCCAAGCAAGAGCACGTTTGCGCGCCGCGCTCAAGTGGGCACGATCGTTGGATGCAGTGACGAAACCAAAGGTTTCAGAGTACTCATCAGAAAGGAAAACAAGGTCATCACGATGCAGCATGTCAAGAATATTAAAACGTTGTCTGAAGCCCAGAACAGGCAACTGCAACTAGCCCTTGATGACGATGACCGGGCAGGTTCAGCTGAAGGCACCGAGACACCGTAAGACGGAGAAGTAATTTTACTGCGAGCAAGAAGCCCAAAAAGAAGAAACAGTGGACTCGCCAGCCACACGTGACAAGAGGTCCAACAAAGACAGCATCTGCAAGCCAACAAGAAGTAGCTGTCAGCGTAGATGTCGTTAATCACGTGTTCGAAAGAGATCCTCGCAAGTATGCAAAGCAATGAAGAGCAAGAAGAGAAACGAATAGCAAAAGGCAATGCGTGAGGTGCTGGACGCGCTCAAAAGAAGCGAAGTGTGGTGTTTGGCGCTCCGATCAACAACAGCAACGTCCTTCACAGTAAATGGGTCTTTAAGACCAAGACGACTGCCGATGGAGATTTGGAAAGACACAAAGCGCGCCTCGTTGTCTGCGGTAATGAACAAGGTTTTGGCGTGGACTACGCGCTAACTTTTGCTGCCGTCATGGACATGACGACAGTAAAAGTAATTTTGGCGTTAGCTGCTATATGGGGCGTCCCGGCTAAGCACGGAGACGTCTCCAATGCTTACGTAAAAGCAGAGAAGGAACAGCATCTCGATATTCTGATACATGTCCCTAAGGGCATGACGATTGATACAAGAGAGTTAAAAGAACTGGGGGAGACGAAGATTGAAGATGTCGTACTCGAACTGAAGAAAAGTCGTTATGGTTTAAAGCAATCAGAGCGATTGTGGAGCCAGTTGCTTAACAATCGGTTATTGGAAGCCGGATTTACTCGCTGCATCAGCGACTTCTGCTTGCGTTACAAGCGCGACATCGATGGAGTCGTCATCGTCGAAGACTTAGTAGACAATTTGCTGGTGGCTGGAACATCCGCTGTTGCAGTTGACGGTGTTTTCGCGAGCCTCAAAAGTCTTTCAATTAAAGATCTTGGACCAGTGTCGAAGTTTTTGGGGATGCGCGTGACGCGCAACGACGATCTTGAATATTTTCTTGACCAGGAAAGCGATTGCCGACTTGCTGCGTGACCACGGCATGACCAATGCCAACTTAAGTCGTGCGCCTATCGGGACACAAGTTCAATGTGCAGACAGCGGACTACTTCCAGACACGGGTGCTCAAGGTCAACCTATTGTTTGTGCTTTTCAGTCTATTGTCGGATTGTTGCACTAGGTAGCGAGGTGCACAAGACCCGACATCGCATTTGCGGTGCACAAGGCAACCAGACCAACACACGAGCCACAAATCCATGACTGGAAATTGGCTAAGCGCATCGTGCGCTATTTGAGTGGCACGCGTGGATTGAAGATCAGCATGAATCCAGCAGTCGAAGAAACTGCACAACCTGTTCTAATGAGCTACAGTGACGCAGACTACGCAGCCGGCAAGGCAGACAGAAAGTCTTTGACCGGTAGCGTTATCATGCTAAATGGAATAATAATCAGCTGGTGCTCGAAAAAGCAAGGAGATGTGGTGCTCTCGACAATGGAGTCGGAATCTGTGGCAGCGTCTGAAGCTGGACAAGAGCTACTTGGAGTGAGAGACGCTGGATGAATTAGTGAGTCGCCTTCACTACCGATGAAAATGCTCATCAACAACCATGCAGCAATACGGTAGATTGAAAAAGAAGCATCGTCTACTAAAGCCAAGAACATTGGTGTGAGTGTCAAGTACTTGTGCGGCTACGCTCGTCGAGCATTGTGGTGCCACAATATGTGCCGAGCGACTTAATGCTTGCGGACGTACTCACCAAAGCACTTGATGCAGTCAAGACGGTCAAGTTGCGATCACTGCTACACATAGTGTAAGCGTAGTGTAAGTCGCCGGCAAGAAGAAGTGTTGAAGATCGGGATGGAGAGTCACGATGTGCGGCACGACATGTCAGATCACGTTGGTGTCGGCGACTTTTTGTATGTGCATAAGAGGACAGTCGACAGAAGGAACTGCAAAGATGGGTGAAGAAGCTTGCAGTTACCAACAGACAGGAAGCGCGTCATCGGAGTGGTGGCGAATGGTAGCGCAGCGACAGTAAGTCGACCTAGTAAGAGCGACAGATACAGAGACATAGTGTGCGAGATAGCGAGCAGAATAGCTAGGACATAACGGCACAGTTTGAATATCAGTTTTCGTTCTACCTCATCAAGTGCAAGCTCAACATTGGCTAACATACACGGACTAGACGATTGCTTTGACCGGCTTCTACATTTTCAAATGGCTTTATTCCCTGCAGAGAATAAGTTTTGCGACTTTGGTGGGATTGACTACGAGTGCTGCCAAGTGTAGTCACTACAGTCCATATGTCAGAGAAAGACGTCAGCCATGGCAATAAGTTTTATGACCCACGTATCACTTTGTTCCGCTAGTCGGGTCGCAATACGCCCTTCGTGACAAACGAGAATGACCTTAGTAAGGCACGAATCTTGCACGTTTTAAATCTAAACGTAAACTGATTTGGAAATGTATGTTATTTCTCGGCCTACTGGTGTAAATTGTCTATCTAACATAATAAAGTTACGCGATATTCATGACAAGTAGCTTACAGCCGCCAATTACATGCGTGTACCTACCTATCTTGACAGCCGTTCTTGAGCAAAGATTTTAGTTTATGATATTTTGGTGTGCTCCACACCTCTATATGTACATATTTTAACCATGATCGTTGTAATAAGCTAACCTTTTTAATTTTTAGAACGTTTTGTTTTAATTTATTCTAATTGTTGTAGTACTAATTGATTTAGCTTTTTTCCAAAATTCATATTATGCATCCTATTCAAATGCATACAAAATCATGACTAATATGTTGTCCTAACCAAAATTATCATTCTTTGTCCTAAAACAGGATCAAATAAAGCTGCGGGTGGTTCCAGGCTGAAGCGGAAAAGTCCATGCCGTTCAAAGAGTTGTTGGCGTGGTAATAATTGCGTTGGCTAATAATCTTCGTCGAGCTAGCCACTATTGCAACCGAACAACGTGAATAGTAAAGTTCCGTTGTCGAATCATCCTAGCGATATTTCCAAAGTGGCACAAATGTGAAAGTGAACCATAACGATCGTAGATCGTGTATGAAGCCCAAGCATGGCCGCCCGACTGTTTGCTACTGACGTATTCTACGCCATACTGGCAACTCATACGATTGCCGCTTTTGGACAGTCTAGATGCACTGTAGATGCATTCCATACCGCATCGTTAACACGATGTGCAGTAATTTTTTCTGCTCATGAAAACCTTGACGGTCATCTTCGCGTGTGACGTGCACTTAATGCATTTTTGCGCTCTTCATTTGTGTGAAATCGTTCGTCGCTGCGTCAGCTAGCTAGGAGAGCCACAAGTGTTTATAACTAAGTATTATGATTTTGAAAGCGTCAGACTTACTCTGGTTTCGATCAAAATCATTATGCGGGGCTCAGAAACGCTTGACAAGTTCTGTCATAAACGCCTAAGAACGTGCTGTGAAAGAAGTAGAACGCGAGGTTGGCGCTTATTTGCTTAAAGCCTTGCTCGTCTGCTAAGGCGTGATATGGCGAATGCCTACACAGTGTGTCGATAACTAGCTCAGTGTTACTTACGTATGTTCCCACGTAAGTCTCAATGACAATTCTGCGATGTGGGTGTAAGCGATACCGTTGTAGTCCACTACTGCTCCTTCAATCGACCTTCACGAGCAATTCTGTATCACCTTCACAATGCTTGTGATGCAGCATCGTCGCTGCAGTACTTCACCACTTGACTGCTAAGAGTCATTACAACGCCCACCACTCTAGATTTGACACGTAAGGACGTTTCAAAATTGCAGCATGCGTTGGGCTTTCCATGAATAGATGACCATCATGAGGATGCTCCTAGTCTTGTGATCAAAACCTGATGTGAGCTTACAAGCATCGGCTCTTGGACCCACTGCTCGGTGGGCAATGAGTCTATCTTTGCCCACTGCATATAGAATGGCACGAGTCAGCATGTGTAGTGAGGTAAGCGTAATGCATATGAAGCTACTCTTTTATTCAACGAGTACTTGTTGTAACTACAGATAATGCACGGCAGGCTTGTCAAGTAAGCACTACTGGCAGCTTGGCTTCTTTCTATTAGCGAGGTCCTAAAATTGACAGACGATCATGAAGGTTCATTTCCTATCCTTCTGGATGCTTCCAAGACTGCTCATGGACTTATCATTGTTTTCACTGATTCTACACAACAAGACATTGTGCCGCCAAAATTTTGTTTGGCAAAGTCCGTCCTGGTTTAGTCAGGAAGCAGTCAACGTGGGCCGCCAAAGCAGTGCAAACTTTTGATCTGGCGTCCACAAATAAAAGTGATCACAAAGGAATTGCCAAGTCAGGTTTGCTACAATTTACTTGGCTGTCAGGACAGTAGTGATAGGCAGGATCGAAGATGTAGCATCCATATTTCCGTCTCTTGTTTCGATATCCAGGTGAACCGAAGCTTTACTACCACCAGTAGCAAAAGATCCATCATGCAGTTTTGAACCTCGATTGAACCAGACGTTCGTGAACCCAGAGGAGTCGAAAAAGCCCCAAACGGAGACTTTCCATTGTAAATCATTACTCTTAAGCAGTAGTAACTATCATATAGTTCGATCGCCCAACCACATGCTACCCACAACGATCGCACAAATGCCTTGACCTGCCTCAATCTCATTTTCAAATTTGGAAGCTGGCCACCATTACTTTCCTCCTTTATCGAGGTATTCAAGCCTCTCGCCTCCCTGGCTGATAATTCCGACAGCCATGGGTTTCTCTGCACTTGCAACGCTACTGCACTTGACTACTGCCGCCATTCAAATTGGCATGAACTTGAGTCCAGCACCGGATATGTACCGGGTGCACAAGTCCAAGACGACGGGACAAATGGCCTTGCTCCCGCTTGTGCTCATGTGCTTTAACAACCACCTGTGGCTGCTCTACGGATTACTAACTGGAAACATCTTCCCGCTCTGCGCCACCGCGCTGGTTGGCGAAATCGCCGGGGTCATCTTTACAAGCATTTACTACCGCTGGGCACGAAACATACTCGGGACCCAACGGATCTGTGCTGTTGCCTTCTTTGGTATGGCAGTCGTGACGATGTATGTGCTGCTCGGTGTAACTGGCAAAACAGGCCAGACATACGACCAAGTTGTAAGTATCCTGGGCTATGTTGGTGCAACCATCAATACTTGCATGTATGCATCGCCCTTGGCCACGATCAAGGTCGTAGTAGAGACGAAGTCGTCAGCGTCGCTGCCTATTAACTTGTGTGTCATGATCTTCCTCAACTGCTGCATGTGGTCAGCCTCGTCACTGGTCGACAACGACATGTTTGTGTTGATCCCAAGCGTCATTGGCCTCGTCTTCAGTGGCGTGCAGATACCGCTGTACTTTATCTACCGGCCGGTAGACACGTACATGGATCGGAATGCTCAGCTTGAACAAGGCTACGGTACTTCTACAATCAAGACTGTCGAGATCGACACGAAGGGCATGTCACCCATGACATATCGAACAGTACGTCCGTCTTGCGTGGCTCGGTTCGCTGGCTACCAATACCAACGCGCAGAAGGAACACCAGTCATGGTAGCAAGTACGCCTTCATACTCTGGAGCCGAGAAAAGCCAATGTTTGTTTGATGAGCTCTCGATGACTCCGACACCAGGCTCAATGTACTACACACCTGTTGCCTACGATGAAGGAGACCTTGAGATGCAGCCGTTGTTCATGACGCCCATCGCAGCCGAAACACTCGTAGTGTAAGTCTGAGTACCGATCTCTTTTGAACTTGAAGCCTCGAAGTATTCCAGTAGCTGTCAAATTGAAAAGAAGGATAGCTTGCTTTGTCAGAACCTGGTGCTCTTTATCCAAGCAAAACTCAGCGCAGTTTACCAAAAGCGTTGCATAGCCATTTGGCCGCGCCCCCCCTTCACTGTATGCAACGACAGCGTCGGTGATCCAGAGCAAGTTGATGACAACACGGCCAAGCGCACAGTAATAGGATAGACGCGTCTGCCTAGTCAGCAGCTAGTACATGATGGTAAAGCGGCAACGTGTACAGTTGAAAGCTTCCTCTTGCAACTAGTGTTTCCGAAGTCACTGAGATTTGTGTTGTCACGCCATTATGTCTCACTGCGCATGCAACACAAAGCGCCGTTAGTGTTACCGCACATGCCACAACTTTAAGTGTGTACGCACGGAATTCAGAGGACGAAAGCTCCGACAAAGTTACTTGTAAGGTAGCGAGAAACTTCATAGACGTAACCTTTGACTACGTGATGACGGAGACGCCCTGCGACAGCAAGCAAAGAAACGTTTATGAGGTGAATAACATGCTAATGCACTAAGGTAACGATGGTGCAAAGCATACAAGACGGAGCAGCCGCCGTTCTGGTTGTTGATGCAATCGATCGCCTAGATTAGACTCAGACATAGTGGCAATCAATGGTTGGGTACCATGATCTAGCTTCCCATCTTCAGTATACAGAGCTTTCATTGCGCGACGAGATTTGCAAGGATGGAGTGAAGGTATCCAGACCTCGTGGTAATGAAGCACTTGCGGTAGGATGAAAGGACGTGCATTTGGCCTTTCCAGTAGCTGCCTTGTAACAATCGACACACTCACGGCCACGACGTCGAAAGAGGACGTTTACAGTGGAGCCATGCTGTCTTTCCAGCTGCTCAGAGTAACCTAAACGACGATAAGGGCGACGAACTCTTGGTGACAGTAAGATTATGAGCATGACGCAGAGACTTCTCGCCATTCGGCGCTGCATGGGGAAGAAAATGCCAGTAGATATGAGGTCAAGCCGTCCGTCACTGAGCAAAACGAATCCAAAGACGGATATCTTCGAATTCGTTTTGTTTAGTGACGCAGGCAAATCTGGTATGATCGATCACGTAGCCGCAGCTTATCCACTTGTGGGTCGTGTCCTCGACGTCATTTGTTTCGTTTGCAGCATAGATGACATGGTCTGGATGAATGCTGGATTTGGAACGTTGTGGATGAATGATGTACCATTTGTCCGTGACGATGCTATTCAAAGATCCACATAGCGTTGTGAAGAGACTGGTGACTGCAATCGAAACTCAACGTCGTGGCAAACCAATATCTGAGCACGGGTAAGAGCTTCTTCATCGGTGCTTCATACAAGCAAAACGCGGCGACGTCATAGATGATGCCTAATGTCGAGCCAACTTGGCTTCGAGATGCAGTCATTTAAATCTTGGCTAGCTATGTAGACTGTTTGGCTTCGGTAGCAGGATCATTTCTAACGGCAGCGCAAGCTTATGACCCCCATAAAAAGAGCCAAGTCCAACTGAGTGTGCAAGACATAGGAACGCTGGCAGGTGCACCCTCACTACGCAATCATCTAAGACCCAACGAAGCAACGTTACCGAACACTACGATCGAGAACTGGTACTCAATCGTATGTTCGTACAATCTCGAAGTGTGTGCGTCGCGGTAAGGAAGCAAGCACAAAGTCACATGCGACTCTAACATCTGTCGCTTGTGGGTCAAAGAGGTGAAGGAACAAAGCTGCAGATCATCCCATCTACGTTGATTGTCTAGAAAACGGGTTGGTGACAATCAGATGTTTGGCAGAGAGGAGAAAAGCAAAAGGACTGCAGCAATACCAGTGTGTTATCTGGGTCGGGATGCCGTCTGTGGCGTCGCTGCTAGGGAGTGTGCGTACTACTGACCAAGATGGCGAACAGCGTTTCATCTAGGGCCGATTTGCACCGTGTAGTGGCTTTAGTTGCAACATGTCACGATGATCCTTCTGTTCATTAACACAAAACCTTTGTTCATTGAATATCTTTACAGTGGTGCCAGTGGCGACTGAAGTGCTTGGTATTCTGGACTGCTAGGGACAGTTCCTTCCTTCTTGGAGCCATTGAAAACAGCCTTGGGCGAGAGGCCGACGGTAGACATGGCAGTAGAGCCCTCTTCCATCATACTCTCAGCCGTCTTTGGACTCGGGTTCTGGCGAGTGAAGACAATGTACATGGTCCATGCGGCCACATGAAGTGTGATGACAAATATTTGTGGGGCAGCAATGATCCAGTTTGAAGTCACGCGGCCAAACGTGAACCATCCAAAGGTATTGAAAGTGGTCATAGCCAAAGACCGTGGAGCGAGTGACACAGCAGATCTAGTTTCGAACGCGTGGACGAGATTCTTAAGCATGACCATGTGGGTTAAAATAACAGTAACGTCACAAAAGCACAAGCCATGGGTTTTCCAAATCTCAGCTCGTGTCTGGCCTGTTAGACCTAGACTAGCAACAGTCACGTAGAATGAAGGGACCAAGAGCCAGGCAAACATAAAACCAATGCATTTCGCCACTTGACGACGATTTTTCGAGTACCGCCAGTAGATAAGAAGGTAGGTCAAGGAAACAATGTCACCAATAAGAAAGACTGGAAAGCTTGGAAACCATGTTTTGCCTAAGTAGCCATACAACATCCACACATGTGAATTGGCAAGGACGAGAAAAATGGGCACAAGTGACGCTGAGCCAACAGCTTTAACTCGATAGATATGACGTACAAAAAGCGATGGCATATAGATCATGAGCAATGTACTGGAAAAAATCCAAAATCGCACGACCAGGACGACATCAGGATGAACCATTGCGTATGTCACGTGTAGACAAGTGTCGATCGTGCGACAATGGGCAAATTGACAAGTGAAAATGTCTAGGCGATGCTAAAGACCTGGATGTTGCAGTCGTGTGGCTGGCTGCTGTTTTGACTTCTATACGGATAATAGATGCATTGGACAGCAGCTGACTATGAACACGTTAAGTATGTGTTTAATCAAAATAACAAGCATAAAAAGGCAGTCTTGATTTCTAGATGACTCATTAGAAGAAGAAAAAAGAAAAGCCTGTCTGGATGGCGCATAATCAATCATTTATTCCTCAGGCAACACGTGTGTCTGGTCGGATGAGTGAAGGAAGAAAAGGGTTACGATAGAAGCAAGTGAAGACGGCAGTTTCTTGAATTTATGTACTTGTGATAGTGGTAAGAAGGAAAGCGTTTTTTTGTTGGTCGGATCAATACAAGATCGATGTGATATAATAGGATAATCATGATGCAACTACAAACGATATCAATCAATGTGACAGTCACCACGATCCTTCATGACACGTAGCAACGACTTTTTAACAAAGATACAGTACGCATGTTGTGTACATGTTGTAGTGCAAACGGAATTAAATGTTCATCACTACAAGTGAACTAGGATGGATGCTTGAAATTGTTTTGTTTTGAATTCAAAAACATGCAGACGAAGGACCGGATGTAGCCGCTGGCGACTGCATTGCGCTTGGCAAAACGTGAGTCTTATGCAAAGCATGAGCTTGATTTGTAGTGTTTTTAAAGCGCAAGTGTGATCAGACTGCTCGTTCTAGCAATGTTCGCGAATTACCTCTTGTACATGATTTGTGCTTCTAGTGCGAGCTGTTATGGCCCTTTAAAGCCTTTACTTTGCATTATACCATGATGTCGTTGGCTACTGTTTGTTGTGCTTGTTTGGCCTCCAGTGATCACAAGCATCGAGATGCCATGTTTCCAGTTGTCACATTGTGACACGATCTACCTAGTACGGCACGGAACGGCCACGATAAAGAGAGTATGCTCACTTATTTTGAGCGTTCCATCGTACATCGTCTTTTGAAGGTGGTGGTGCTGTCGCACGTCAAAGGTTTGCGTGCTGTCGTGGCGAGGCGATGATCCTAACCTTGGTTTATGTAGTAGTCTCGGTAGCCACGTCGAAACGATTCTGCGTTACCTATTGTCGAAGATCGTACCGTGGGTGACCGTTAAAACGCTTCATTCGAACGTTCTACGTCTCGATGCCCATGATCACTTTCATCAGCATTTGGCGTTGGACATGTGCTTCTAGTGGACACAGACATGTACGTGCTCACAACGCATGCAGTTAGCGCAACGATGGGAATGCTTACACATCTGTGGCATGAATGTAAAAACCTGCGTTCTAACAGACCTTCCTGTTGGACTTTGGACGCAAACAAAGTAGCGAGAAGAGTACGCAAACTACGTCAGCCGTACTAGAAGCGACCTGAGCTAGAGGACGAGCGATTCAACGCGGACACCAGGAAAACGAGCAACCAAACAAGCAAGGGCGTGTTGCTCAACTGCATTGCTTGTTTGTCTGAGCTTTCAGCACTGTGTCCATGCCTGATAGTAAGTAAAAGCTGGTAGCAATGAGAGCATTAATCTTGTTGCCGACTTATACAGCAAGCACCGTGCTACTCGACAGGTAGCGTGCAAGCACGAGAACACGGCCAAAACATATATAGCACAAGATTGTCGCGTCGATTGTACGGAACGTCCGACCTGCAGTAATTTGCTTCCGTTTTGACAAGCAATGCCTCATCTGAAGTCCGTTAGAGAACTACTTAGCATATGCTGCTTGCTGTTTTGTATTTGATCCAGCTCCGTCTGGAATGCAATTCACTGAATGCAACAGGCTCGGTGTATTTAGAGTCGGTCAGCAATCTGAACAGCTTATCAGCCTTGAGCTTTGCTAGACGTCTCGCTTTATCTCGTGTCGACTCGTCCATGAGGATCATGACAACAAACTGGAAGATCACCAAAATTGTGCCCTTTGTCACTCGCTGACATATTTACTGCTGCTACTGTACGACAGAGGTGTGACGCCTTTGTAGCATTCCGGTGCACTAATCAATGCTTCATCACTCCTCCATTCGTTACTGCTGACACCGCCATGAACATCTCTGCAACAAGAAATCCTCTTGAACAGCCTTGGCGTTGCTGCAGTCCATTGTCAGTAGACTCGTACAATTACTTCTCAAAGACACCTTTACCTTTGGAAATAGTAACTCATCGACATGACTTGTTGTCAATTCAGCTGCTCCATCGCAATTACTTTGCGACGAACAGAAGCTCCCGGTTGCAGTGATCATATCGACCACATCGTCGTAGTTGTGTCCGAAGCCGAGGTACGAACAATTCTGTATCCACGCAGGTAGTTTGTGCACAAGGTTGACACTCATGTCGTGATACCAACTACGACGTCTGTGATCGTGTCAGCAAAGCTCTCAACGGAGTTATAGCTTTTGATCATGACTAGTACGTAGAGTGATGTCTAATCTACCGCGAAGCGACTACGTATTGTGCTTTTTCAGCTACACAAGTGTCAAAAGCGACACAGTCTTGATGTAAGGGCATAGAATGCAAGCATACTTCGCTTCAAAGGTGAGACTTGTTTGAAAAACAAGTGGATTGTTAAGTCGATGCAGCACATGAATTATGCATAAAGAGAATGAGACGTCAGAAACCTTTTTATCGACACTTGCATACTTGCATCTCTTTGACATGGCAATTAGGAGCCACACAGATGACATTGCAGTGATAGCGGCGTTACCACTGGTAACCAAGCATGCTGACCAGCTGTTACAGTGACGTTCGTTCACGCCGCCAGACAACGTACTCGTGACACTTTTTCTTTTGCTCTCAGGTGTTTACTACGGCCGACACGCTTTTGATTCATCGATGCAGTCCCTTTCAACCTCTACGACTCGTAGTGTTCATGAACCTTTGCTGATTGCTGAAGCCTGGTCAGGTGATACAAAGCTCTTGCAAACGTTAGAGTTTGCTCGACCTGAACGTGCTCTTTTGGATATCGCACAAGGTGTTCTATGCTCATGTACTCACTCTGTCGTTCAGTGGATCTGGCGCTGGATACACGAGAGATGTCGTGCACCAGCAGTCGAGGAAAACATTCCTCGGACCGTTCGACAACAATTGGACTCTATCACCGATTGCTTAGCTGATCTAAAGATGCAGCAAGAATTGATCGATACGGATCTACAGAACCTTCGACACAAGAATGTATGGTGTTGTAATGAGGATGGGGCGTATCTAGAAGCTTCAAGGTACGTGGAGTATAAGAATTGAATGGTTTGACGTATCGAACACACTGACACTATGAGTGGATGTCTTAGGATGCCTCTGGATATGGACAAGACTCTAGTACCAATTGTGACTCAACAAGATCTTGTTAACAAACAAGATGAAGACGATTACGTGCAATTAAACCTTCAAGATGTGTAAAGTGATGGGTAATGAAGGGACTTGTTGGAGCTATTTCATTGCTAGTAAGCAGTAATCTACATCATTCATTGGACACGAAAAAATTGACTGACCGACAGTAAGAGCTAAAGTTACTACAAATAGGACACTATCAAGAAGGAATACAATACAAGAAATGGGTCGATTGACAAGGAACGTTTTGTCCCCTTCTACTACTATAATGACAGTCAGATAATTACTACTATTTCTCTGTCGCAGATATGACTACAACTTTTCTCTCGCAGTCAATATTACTACTACTAGTCAATACTACCTTGACAGTACTACTTTTCACTATATTATTCATTCGCCCATTTGAATGATTCATGCTATAGCTTACCGGTATTTACTTTTCTCAATCCAAAAAAAGTGGTTTATCAAATAAATCACTACTCGTAAAAAGTCCAGTAGAACCTTCTTGTACCGGTATCCTCACTCTCTCTAAATGGCTACATCCAATCATCCTATCACCCATTTTGACCAGTCACAAACTCCCATTCTCTGAACTCATGAAGAAGACTACAGCACTATTATTAACTACAGCATTAATGCTTCCTCGTACCTTTGGGATGAAACAATCCTGGATATTTACCAATGAAAAGCGTCCGTATTTTTTCATTGAACGTTTTGGATTTGGTCCAAATGGTCACATGGATGTACGTGTATCGAATATTGAGATCAAGAATACGACCATGCTCGAGTCATCTCAACCACTACAAGCAGGACTATTATTTGTCCATGTACGTAAATTCTAAAAAATAAATTACCGATTTTGATACCGACCCAATTTAGGTCGTACTAAAACTGAAAAAAAAGGTCCTGACTGTTTTTGTAATCATCATGGGATGTATCATATGATTGGATAATAATGATGATGATGTTAACATAGCAAGAGGATATATGGGAGACCATGGCGTTATTAAATGACGTCAACGAGGATGACGAGTTGGAAGATTCACTTACAAGTCCAGAAACTTTGGATCGATGTGTCCTTAATTTATGTCCAGATGATGTATGGATCAATTTTACCGATATCCAAACATGGTAGTGCGAACAAATACCGATATTTGTCACGGTAATAGGTTTTTGTGGGAACTGGACTGACCTCATTGTATACCGTGATTCGTGTAGGCACCTTAGTCTCAGTGTTCAACTCATGAGAGTGGATCATGGACAAGGAAATGACAGTCGAGTCAATGGACCATTGGAAACTGGATTTTATTATCTCTTTTATGCCCAATGTCCCCATGGAATTGATGTGTCTTTTCATGTACGAATTTGTTTTTTTTTGCTCTCTTGTTGTTTTTATTTTGGGTTGTGTGTGTTCTTATTTTGGGTTTGTGTATGTGTTGTTGTTGTTTTCTCTAGATGGATGCATTGTTCACGAATGGAGATCAAGAGTTTTTATCTATTGGTGATTCACCATTGCCACTTGTGTACTTGATGATGAGTGTATTCTTTCTAAGTGCTGCAATCATTTGGTGGTCATGTCTTGTACGACATTTACAACATGTTCAGCGAGTTCATTGGCTCATGGCGATACTAGTATCAGTCAAGACTATTGCACTCTTTGCAGAAGCCATGCGTGCATACTATATGAAACGTAATGGTGATACACTTACGGCTTGGACTGCAGTCACGTATACATTCATGAGCCTTAAAGGGATTTTATTATTTTCCGTACTGATGCTCATTGGTACAGGATGGTCACTATTGAAACCTCATTTGTCACAGAAGGACAAGTCAGTGCTATCATTGGTACTAGTGCTACAAGTTGTAAGCAATGTGGCTCAGATTTTGGAAGCAGAGACGGCAGTGGGTACACGAGCTTGGGTAAGCTGGCGAGAAATTTTGATTGTTGCAGACATAGCTTGCTGTGCTGCAGTGTTGCTACCTATTGTATGGTCGATTCGCCAGCTACGAGTTGCTGCTGCAACTGACGGCAAGGCCTTTGCCAACCTACAGAAGCTGACGCAATTTCGGTCATTCTACCTTTTCGTCATTTGTTACATCTATATGACTCGGTTGGTGCTACAGCTCCTAAAGGCTAGCTTACCCTATGACGCGACCTGGGTGGCTGTAGCAGTGAGCGAGCTAGCTGCTTTGATTTTTTTCACCACGACTGGCTATCGCTTCCGTCCGTTGCCGCTCAATCCGTATTTGGAAGTACCTATGCACGAGGATGATTTGGAGGAATTTGCGCTTGAAGATGACGAAGACGACTTGGATGTTCGCAGCATTCAGCGCAGCGATATTCACAAGTTTGCATACGGTGCGCCAGTTAAAACCAAGGCAAATTGTTCGATTGAGAGACAGCACTGTTAGTAATGCAAAGCAGAACTGACAGTGGCAGCATCAACAACGAACTGTAGAAGGCGCAAGTATATGCTATGGACTATTCTGTGAATAAAACGAGCCGTAGGCTGAGTTAGCACACAGCGCTGTTTTGATTTTCGAAGCCTCTCAATGTTTAGATGGATCAGGCATTGGCGTTTGATGGCGAGGGCTAACGGCTTATGAAGGATACTGTCAGATGAGGTTCTGAATATACAGCAATTTGTAGACGTAAGAGACAATAAATAACTCATGATGCTGCAAAGGCTGGGAAAGTGGCTGCACTCGCTTGTTGGCACCGTATTGGACCCGTTCTACAAGGTTTTATCAGGTACGTGTCCATGAACCAACATTTATCCTTGTTGAGATCAATAACCCTGATCAATGTCTCGAGCTTCGTCGAATCGTGTCCCACATAGCATCCAAGACGACAAAGAGACGATTATCAAACAACGGTCATGGTCGTGTGCTTGTTTCATATCCCGACTTTCGTGAGTCGCCAAGCATTGCCCAACAAATTATGTGAGTCAAGCAGCAGAAGTTGTTAGCATAGCAGCAACGTGAACCATTACAGCATCAATTAAGCATGACCTGCCATAAAAAGCCAACTAGGAAGCATGTGGCTGCTGAACCGAGATGGCGGGAAGCTTTGATGGTATCACGCGTATTTTTGAGGTAAAGAAGAACGAAGCCTAATCAAAGTATGTGCTTTAGCAAAATTGGGGTGGCATGGCTGCTGTGACTAAAAGCATTGTGGATCATGATGCCGGTGGCGCTATGTCGCGGACGTGGAATTGCATCTGGCCAAGTACTTGCGGTAAGGCAGTAGCTACATCGCTGCACTGTGATTACTAATAGCCTTGAATTGCACCACGTTTGTACGTGAGCGTGCGTGGTGGTGACATCGTTCGATGCACTCGATCATATCTGTAGAAGATTAGCAGCAGAATGAGTTGATGTGGAGCAACTCTATGGAGAAGACTAGCAGCTGAGTGAGTGTGGAACAGCTTTTACCGGGTATCTCATCTTCTGTAGTTGTTATGCGGGGATTCATTATGCGACTTTGACGAGCTGTGTGCCTCAAATCTCGTGACAGAGGCCACATCAATGTACGCCATTTTGCGTTCATTGCACTGCACTCTACTAGCAAGCAAGGCTGCGAAAATAAAGAACATCATTGCGAGAAAGATGCGTCACTGATATCAATCATCATCATCGTCGTTTCTTGCAAGTGGCGTTGATGTGAGTCAAGCACAGCATTGCTGAAGATGACGTCCCGGTAATGAATGATCCATCATGTCATTGCACTGCTCAGGAGAGCAGATATAGTCGATCTTCGACATTCTGGAGACGATGGGTTTTGAAGTATCCTGGTGGTTGTTTACACGTCTACTTATCGGCAATCGTGCATCGCGGTGCTTGAATTGAAGGCACACTGTTGATACCGAGTTTGCAATTGCGATTATTGCAAAGTTTATCATCATCGCGTCTCTTTTGCTACATGTTGCTGTATCGACCCTCTCCGTTGTCATGTTTCGACGTTTGTGATTGATTCCTCGTGGCAGCTATTCTCAGTGTCAACACCATCATTTCCAGAGTCAATTTACTTCTCGGAGCTATGGACAGACAACCCACGAGCAGCAAGCAAGCAAGCATTGAGTGTGAAAGGTCGGTATGATCACGAAAACAATGTACATGCCGTGCCGACAGCCGAGTTAACGTGGTCCTTGAATCTGCCGTCATTTGAATGGTGCAGAGTGTTGCATGTCCACGAAATCAAGCGATTGAATTGACTGAAAGCAAAAGTTCGTTCGACCTCTTCAAAGACGATGAAGTTGTTGGTTTTTTCAATTGCTGTTAGTAGGTGCTTGCAGCAGCATCAAAGGTGAAGAAATGTCGTGTGATTTGTGCCCAGGATAGCTGGTAATAGCTAGCTTTAGCATGAAGGTGCATCATATTGAAGAGAGCTAATTGACAGTGGTTACGACAGCTAACTCGCTTTTAACGCTACTAATGACAAGACACAATGGGATTAATACAGTTAAGGACCTGGAATTAGCACCTATTTCAGGGTAAGATAAAAATAAAAAGTGGCAAAGAAGGCGATAAATAAGAGAGAGAAATCATACGTACAAGGGCTCTTGTAATCAATGGCAGCAAGAACTTTACTGCAATGAAACAATTATAATTCTACTGGTTACGCAATCTGGCATAGTCAAATGCTAGCCATGTAAGCTCAGTGTTGATAAAAACGAGGTAAAAGCAAATATGATACTGCTAAAAGTTAGTCCTTGTCTAAGTAAGTTTTAGCATTAGAATGCTGAGGAATTAAGGTCAGTCTTGCAAATGTGACAAGAAGTACGAAATGATTATGTATCATACATATAATGAAGGCATCATATACAGATACAATAGTAGTATTGATTACATGACTATAAATTAGAATCATGTCAACATCGTGATCACAAAATGTTGAAGGAACGTGAAAGCGTAAACATTCAAAGAACATGCAGTCTTCAAAGTGACGATTGACCGATAGAAAATTGTATCTCGATAACTACAGTATGAGTATCTATACTAGACTAGATGGAGTATTCTTGATACTATCAACGTGTCTCTAGGGTGATCCATACCCACCCACCCCCATGGTCTTTTTTGTAGTGTCATGTGTTACATGTAACAAGTACAATGCAACAACACGTCGGTTTCAAGTAGATCGATCGTAAACTACTACTAGAACGATCAAGTTTGATCATGAACACCTACACGTAACGATCACCTCATGCTCTTTAAAGTATCCGATACTTTCTAGTACGACTACTCTTTTGTGTTGGTGGATCGTTTTTTTCATTTATGGTGATTATCTGATGACTCAATCAATCAATCTCGCTCTCTCGTGTGTGTTTTTGTCGTCTACATTTGAAACCAGTGTGTCCCACCATTGTCTCTTTCTTCTCAAGACGTCGTCATAGGTTTGCGTGATATCCCGCTTCTAACGGGATCATCGGGTTATGTGGTTGTTAGTTATTCAGTCCATAGTCCGTATACAGCAGTCGTCTGCGACACGATCACTAAACTTGACATATGAACGCCACCTCATTTTCCATATTGAAACGTTCACGTTCATGGCCCATGCGTCGTTACAAGAACTTATAAATCTGCTGTCGTGATTCCGACGATTCACTGAACCGTTTTCTTCTTCTTCTTCTTCTTCTTCATGGATCAAGTGTATTTTTGCGACCAGTAACAAGAAATGATCATACAAGTCTGGAGTGTTTGGTCGTTTCAGGTATAGAACTGAATGATAAAAAGTGCCGTTTGGGTTTCATAATAACGGCTGCCTTTTTGACGTTTGAAGGAATAACGTGAATGAGATGATCCAAATCTTTCGGCGGGATGTCGTCATGTCTAGTGACTCTTGACTAGGAGGTCTCTTGTTATTAGTTTATGTACCGGTTACCGACCAGACGTGACTGGTTGTTTTGTTTTTGTAGCAAGAGACATAGATAGATAATATCCAATCGATATTATCTGCCACGTTTAAGCCTCGAAAATTGATCGATAGTTATTTCCTCATCGAATAAGGATCATACTATCTACTTATAATTAGCGTGAGATGTTTGACAAAACGTGTATAAAGAATAGCAACATGATGTCGACCGATAGCAGATACTTACTTCCTTACCTTCCAATGACTCTTTCTGAATCGTACGTAGTTCAAAAAGACTCTAGACCGTTTATCTCTATTGATTCCCTATTGCTCAATACACTCACTCTAGCTTCAAACGGTCCAGTAAAGTTCCAAACACTGGGATTTCTAGACAAAGATGTGGTGTCAAGAACCTAGAGCCAGACGTTGAAAAGAATACAATGGGACTTTCTCGAGGTCTCCGTTACCGATCATATCATTCTACTTGAAAGCATTACAGACAAACATTAACAACATTGAATGGGTTAGTGATTTTTCTCTGTCCGGAGACAGTAAACTCGCCTGGGAATATTAGTGGAAGAAGATATCTATCTCCATAGGCAGAGAGGTGGATTTCAAAGAAATTGCTGATCCTTAATATTCTGTGTTTGTAGTTAGCTACAAGCCGTCCTCGGGTAAAGCTGGTAAAGCCCTTTTTGTTATCGTGTTGTTCCTTTATCTACTTGTCACCTTCTGCTAGCGTGAAAGTTGTTCCCTCTTCGTGCAAGAAGTTGTAGAGAAAATAGACGTACGACGTGAAATGTGTCAACATTTCAGCATCAAACTCGAGCAAGAGCTCCATGTCTGTCTAGTGGTACCGCTGCTCAAAGTCCCTTTTTGCAAACAATACGATCAAACGAGGCTTCTACCGATGCAAGTAGTTTGGCCGTTATGCTCGTAACCGTCGGTTAATAGAAGAAAAGCTGCCCACTAGCGTGCGAAATCGAGCAAGTAAAGGGACGTCGGTCTCGATCTTTTGTTTGAATGCTCAAACATGGATCACTTTCGATTCATCTGTCTCGGTACGAAGTCCAGTATTCAAATCGACTACAACACTACTACTATCATTAAAGCTCAGCATCGAACGAACAACAACGGCAGCAGCAAAAAACACTCCGTATGATATCTACCGACTGGAAATCTAGTGCGTCTGAAGAAGGCGAATATACCTTTATGCTCTTCCATCCTGATGCTCAGACAACTAATACTGCTTCATACCAGCAAAGTCAGCATTCAGACCCGATTAATCAAGCTCTAAGCGATGAGGAAATGCTGGACGAGATTTTCCAGGAGATCATGTCTCCACAGGACTCGGTGCTTCCATCGTCCAATAACTGTGACCTCGACACAAGTGACACTAGCACCCTCTTTAATGCCGTGCACACACCTGCCTCATCACTTGCAACGCCCGAGTCGTCTGCCCCATCGACACCTCAGCTTACGAGTACGATGCGTCGAGGCAGCATTCCATCGGCCTCGCTCGGATCCATCTCACCCAACATGGCAACAGCTTTACGCGTACCAACTTTTCCCGTAAACCACACAGGAACTACCCGTAATACAGTGTTCTTTCCGCTAGTAAACGACCCCAAGGCTCGTGTCAATACTAGCCTTGGCGGATATGCTTCGATGATCTTCACTTCGCCGACCGCTGGTCGTCGTGGCTACCGACGCACCAGCCGATCCACACGTTTACAGAAAAAAAAGCCGGCCTCACGCATCTGCCGCATGCCAGGGTGTACGAAAGGTATTCGTTCGCGTGGCCTTTGCAAAGCTCATGGCGGAGGTCGTCGATGTACGACTCCCGGGTGCGAAATCAGTGACCAGGGTGGAGGTCACTGCATCGCGCACGGTGGCGGCCGTCGCTGTTCGATCGCTGGCTGTCAGAAGTCAGCTCAGTCTAAAGGGCTTTGTAAACTACACGGCGGTGCTCGGTTGTGCCGCCTACCAGACTGCAACAAGAACGGTCAGATCAAAGGGCTTTGTCGTTTGCACTATAGCCTTACAATGGCGGCTAAGAACTCGATATCAACCAAGGGAGCAGCAGGTTCAATGTCTGCAGCCTTAAAGCTCGAGCAATATCATCACACCAGTCAAAGCCCTTGTGACTTTGAATTGCGGGTCTAAGGGACCATGTAGTTAGTAAAACTTTACCTTAACAGAAGCGATTGGACATAGATGTAAATATCCATCTGAAGAAACGGTACCATTTAGAATACATGAACAGCTTTGTCTTGTCGGAGATTGCATATTCTGTAGCAATGAACAAGTCGAAACGGCCTTGGAGAACATGGAGAATCGAGCCGGACATGCAATGGAAGACACGTATCAAATAATGAGGACATCTTCCAATGCACAATGTAAACTAATCTGCTGTTTGTTGCACGTATCAGTCATCTACTTTCGAATCGAGGAAGAAGAGATCTTCCGGATAGCTCTAGCTCTAGAAAAGCACATACCAACATCCTCTTCTTGGTAGTTGGATGTTGCGAAAGGAATGCAAGATTTTTTGATTGTTTCTTGCTTTCTCAAAGCTTTGTTCAAACGGATAAGTCAATATCGACAGTAGCTATGCCACATGCAGAGAAGAGGAGTGGAGTTTGCCTTTGTCAAGACGACAAATAGTCTTGACAATTCAAGGAAAAAGTACAAGGAGACACGATACATGAACAAAGCAGTAGCATCCATACATTCAAACGAATGAGCCGTATTGACACATTTCTCAATGGATTCTCTCACATAGTTTCTAGATGCTATTCATATGAGTATGTTGTGTGACCATGAGATGACTAGATAACGTGATTCTTATCATAGAGACGAACATGTTACGTAAAAGGCTTTAGAGTAAACGATACGAGACAAGGAAGTAGGAAGTTTCAGGATGTAAATAACTATGACACCGAGCAATACAAGAGATCGGTCTAATAGTAGATGGATAAGCTAATAACTGTCACCACCACCACTACTAACTTCTACGACGTTTCAAGATTCAATCGTAGGACGGTTGTGACTTGTTCATAGAGAACGCAGAGCCTTAAAGTGCTTGATCGGTTCAAGAGTCACTGAACATGACGACATCCCGCCGAAAGATTTGTATCTCATTCACGTTATTCCGTCGTCGTCAAAAAGACAGTCGTTGTTTGAAACCCAAACGGCACTTTTTATCATTCAGTTGAATACCTGAAACGACCGAACACTCTGGACTACTGGTCGCAAAAATACACTTGATCCATGAAGAAGAAGAAGAAGAAGAAGAAAACGGTTCAGTGAATCGTCGGAATCACGACAGCAGATTTATAAATTCTTGTAACGACGCATGGGCCAAGAACGTGAACGTTTCAATATGGAAAATGAGGTGGCGTTCATGTGTCAAGCTTAGTGATCGTGTCGCAGACGACTGCTGCATACGGACTATGGACTGAATAACCAACAACCACATAACCCGATGATCCTGTTATAAGCGGGATATCACGCAAACATATGACTAGGGCTCGTTGTTGCATTGTACTTGCTCCATGTACCACATGACACGAGATATCGCGTGAAAAGCTCAATCGTGTCATACCCACTTGAAACAAAACAGTGTTTTCACGTGGGATATATGATGTGCTCAGGTGCTATGCTCACCATAGTGTCAATGATGTCTGAAGACACGTGTTCTTGTATGTTGACGCCACGATTCTGGATGCAATGCTGGACTCGTTTGTTCAACATGAACGTCTTCCTGACCTCAATGTCAACATTGTTAAAGACACCAACAACAAGTGAACGTCCATGAACTGCCTAAAACCCACCAAGGACGCCATTCAGTGCATCGCTGATTGTGTACATGCGTCGACGCTCGTGCTTAACATGTCCAATTCCGACACTCTGGCCACCACTAGCAAAGCCCATCATCCTTTTCCCCCCAACAGCCTCTGAGTCACCGCGCTTGTCATAAAAAAATACGTCGTTCACAACACGGTCAAGCGTCGAGTAAATGTGACTGGGAACGGCAATCGTCGCCACAGTCTCGAAAAGACTTTGCTCTGACACACGCGCATTCCACACATCTTGATATATGACGTTGCGCTGCAGCAGAGGGAGAGCTACATCAATATCTGACGCCATCAGCTGCGGCCCTAACAGCTCGTGAATAGCCATAGCAGTACGGAAAAGAAACACTGTGCCATCCAGTAAAAAGTTGTCAAACACGCGAGCCGCTGACTCGAGCGGCAGCACCTGCAGAAATAGTGTCTGTAACCAATTCATTAGATACATTGAGCACGAAAACACGCCAATCTCCAGTAAATGAGCGTGAAGGCGAGGGTGCCGCGAGCTCAAAAACGTGTCAAACAGAGTGTAGTACACGCTTGCGAGATCGGCATCCAGTAAGTAAAAGGTAAAGAGGTGTTCGTTCACCATGAGGTTTGCCAAACACTGGAAAGCCAGGTAGCGGTCTTGGGGCATGTGCAGACACAGCATGGCGGCCAAATACGACATGCCTTGGATATACCCTAGATCAGGTCGGTAGCACGCATATGTCTCGAGCACCTCCAGCAAAAAAGCGTAGTATGGACCACTTGAGTCAAACAACTTCAGCGACGGGAACGTACGCGGCAAATCCGTGTCAATCAATGCAAGAGTATGTTCACGGCCGCCGTCCACAGTACCGTCCACTTCCTTTGCAACTCGGTCTTTCTTGTACGCGGCTGCTCTTCGACGGTAAATCTTAAACATCTCCGGTGTCACCTTCAGCTTATTACCGATAGCCATGGGCCACACACGGGCGCGAATTGATGGCGGGATCCCCTGACGCCACAGCGTGTGTGCTAGCGGCGTATACTTATTTTCTTCCCAATCGCGCAATATGCGTGTTCGCCAGAGTTTTTTTGCTCGCCGCAGCTCCTCTTCCTTTTCATGGATGGCCTCACGCGGGACATCGTCAAGTTCAATTGCCAAAGTTGGAGGGGAGCCTCGTCGATGCGTGCTTTTTACGATCGGCGGTGAGACTGATCGACCTGATAAAACATGGCCAAGACGTGAATCGTCGTCACTTGCTTCACTGCCATTTGATTGCTGTCTTTGGGACCTTGACATGTTAGACCCATCTGAGACTGCTCCATTCTGTTTTGTTCGATGAGATGCCAATAATGCGTGTATGTAAAGATCCGGATGCACTTCCAGTGCAATAGTGTACTTGTGGCCACAAGCCACGATGAGCTCAGTTTCAGATGAAAAGCAGTCAATGCGTTCGGGTTTATCCTTGTTTGCTGTGTGCCCAAGACCACACGCGCCGTATGAGTTTAGCCCCCCAGGAAAACATCACGCGCTTTTCTGTTGTTGCGATGGAGTGGAATGCACCACAATACACTCGCGCCAACTGATCGGGGGGCCACAACGCGTCCTGTGGCAACTGTACGCGTGCAGGTAGCGGCTGATAAACATCCCCAGTACCTAGTTGCCCGTATTCTCCTAATCCCCACGAATACAACTCACCAGCAGCTGTCAGCACAACTGTGTGGGTATACCCGCATGCAACATCGACAACTGGCGATCCCCTTGCCAACTGACGCAGCTTCTCGACGGAACGTGGCACCATTTGATCCTTATCCACGTATCCCAGTCCACATTGCCCCTCACCCGTCTTGCCCCACGTGAAAATGTTCCCTTGACGATCTAATGCTGCGGTAAAGTTCCAACCGCATACCACGTGCGAGATATAGGTTCCTCTCGGAAGCCCTACGATAGGATGGGGGGTGTCTCGCCACTTATTATCACCCAGACCCAAACGACCATTCCGCCCTCGCCCAAACATATACAAAGTGCCCTTCGCAGTCAGAACAGCAGTATGCGCACCGCCACAACTTGCATTAACTACGCTCTCCCGCAGCAAGCTCATAACTTTGCGTGGAACAGCGCGGTCTCGCATGTCACCATGCCCAAGGCGCCCGTCTTCACCGCTACCCCATGTATATAGCTCCCCAGCGTCCGTAATGGCTAACGAATGCTGCGCACCACATGCAATCATTGCTATTGTCGTGCGATGAAGGGCTTTTTCCAGTGTAAGCTCTTCGACGAGATGCGGTGAAAGAAACGACGTTTTGATGCTGCTTCGAGATGATTCGTTGTCGTTCAAATCCGAGTTAGCTGCAATAGTGGCTGCCGCAGCCTTTTTGTCTTCATTATCGCCGTAGCTGTAGACATCTCCCGTCGATGTTAGATACAGCAAATGTTCGCCACCACAAGCCACTTGAACGATTGATTGTCCACTGAGCATGGATACCTTTTTTGGACGAAGAACAACTGGAGTCCCTCCTTCTATGCTAGGAGGTCGCCCCCCACACCCACATGTGCCCCTTCATATGCTGATCCACTGCATCTTCGTTCTCTACCTCTGCCACTTTTCCTACTATTGTTTCGTCTTCAGCGCTTCTTTCTTCGTCATCACTTTCTTTGTCATTTTGCTCTTCTATGCTTTCACAATATTTGTTCGAGTTCACAGTGGTGTCAGCTTCATTTTTTAAGGCTGCGAAATCCCCAACAGCGGACGACACTGCAGTTGTAGATACCTGCAACTCCATGTTATCATCAGTAAGCACTGTATTGTTCAACACCGAAGTGCTTTTATCGTCAGTATCCTGCGCTGAGGAAGACTGCGTTAGAGAAAAACTGATAGCTCGAGAACTTGTGCGTCTTTGATGGCTGTTTCGTCGGGTTAGCACTGGCTGTGACTGGCTGCGCTGTCGTGGTATACTCTGTACTTGCTCAACGCCGTGAAATTGATCGTGTATAGCAGCCAGCATCTCATTCTGAAGCGCCACAAAGGCTGTCATACTATTTTCCACGTCAGTTCTTACCTTGACGTGCAACGCCTCTCGTTCCTGTTGAAGTCGACGCAAATTTGTATTCTTCACCAGATCTTCATGATCAAGACTAGTATGTCGTGTCCAGTACGTATGCTTTATCTCTGGCAACACGTCATGACTCAGTGCTCCCAATAGTTTTAGTACTCCATCCTCACACTTTCGATGAAATTCAGGCTGAATAGTCTCGAGTACCTGACTCAATGCTTGAACTAATTGAACTGCGTGTGTATTCCCACCTTCTTCACTCTTTTTCTTTGTCGTTTCAAACAATGATATTTCAGTCACTCGTTTGTATTCCTCCACTACAGCAGCAGTTGCTCCCCACCATGTTGTTGTTGCTTGCATATAAGCACGTATACAGTGCCAGAAGGCATTTAAATTCCCTTCTGCTTGTAATACTTCATTTCGAAATTGCATCAATGTCCAATCACTTGGTACTTCACGTACTTGATGCTCCTCCACCTCATGATCCTCCACGGTCTTTTCTTGATCCTCCTCAATATTATCGTATGCATCCTCTTCACTCTCTAATATTATTCCTGCTTCATCTTCACTATCGGTAATACTGTCCACATCAGCCCATGTGGTCATTAATAGTGGTTTGGCCCAATCCGGTAATTCACCGGTTACCGGTTTTGGTGGTCGGTTCCACTGAGACGCCACAAAGTCACAAAAAAGCTGCATATCTAACCCAGCACTTGAATTCATATCATGATGTAATCCGGCTTGATATTGAGACAATAGATGACGTAATACTTCCTGCAGAAAAACCTGAAGACCTTGAAAACGTTCTTGAAGTTGTTGTTCCGTCAGTGGAAACACTTGAAGAGCATATTTTGGCGGTAAACCGACCAATGGATGAAAATGAAGTTTTGTGGCTAAGGATGCAATTTGAGAGTACCGACGATAGATGAGATACTGAGATGTAGATGTAACGATTTGTAATACATAAGCCAGAAAAGGTTTACGATCACGAGCGTGCTGGGCTTGATAATACCCTAGCATCTGGACATTCGTGAGTTGCCCAAAACCGACCATACTGGTATTCTAATATACTTTTATCTTTCTAAGGGGAAAACAAATACCTGAGTTTATGTTGTGTACATTAAATTAATCGATTATTCAAAAAAAAGGACAGCAGATTACGAATCAAGGAAAGGGTGGGACGTGACTATTTGATGTAAGGTACATGCATTACCCCCACTTTTCCGCACTATGAACGACAAGAGCGCGGAATGGACGTTAACAGTGCGGCAAATGTTTCAAGATGTGCAGCTTCAAGCTGTTGAAGCTAGTAGTTATATACGTAATGTATTAGGTAGAATACATCAACAACAGACATTTGTATTAGCAATACGTCGTTTAAATACCTTATATCAAGAAGAAGTATGTCATGAAGATACGTGTCATGTGATTGAAGAAGCTTTTGTCTTGTTTTTAGATGAATTATGGCTTGTAATTACAAGAATGTTGGTCACTAGTAAAGTAAATGATGTGATTTTGTATACAATAACATCATTTATCAGTGATTTCCTCTCCCAGGAAGAGACAAAGACAAAGAAGACGACGACGAAAAGTAACACACTTGCTGGAAAAAAAGAATTACGCTTGGAGTTACTTCAGAGATTATTACATGTAACAGAAGCAGAAGATCGTATGGTACGACTACGAGCTTGTCAGATGTTACAACTTGTAGTCAATCGAATGGATGAGATGATTGAAAACGAGTTTATGATACAAATGAAAGAGAAATTATTACATCGCGTCAATGATAAAGTGACGTTAATTCGTATCCAGAGTATCTATGGATTACAGAAGTTACAGCAAAGTGACGAAGGAGAACAAGAAGAGAATGAAGTTACGTGTGAATTACGAAAACTGATGGAGATGGATCCTTCCAAGTACGTGATAATGCTGACAACGTTTGTTGTTTACGTTTGCTGTGATCATTGATGTTCTTGCTGGACATGGATGTATCTATGTTTTTAATGATGTGATGATGCGTATAGTATGGATTGTGATGTTTGTGTTAATTGTCTCTGTGTGTGTATACTGGTTGGTATATTTTCCAATAGAGACGTTCGTAAAGCTGCATTACTTAGTGTGATTGTGAACAAGAAAACGTACAAGAACTTGCTAGTGCGTATACGTGATACAAGTGAAGATGTGCGGTATGCTGCGTTTCGGACCATTGGTGCTGCAATGCCTTTGTCGGATATTCCGATGAGTGATCGAGCCCATTTGTTGGATCAAGGGCTGCAAGATCGTGCAGTGCGTGTGAGAAGGGCTTGTGAGCAGATGGTGCTGAAAAAATGGTTTCCAGCGTGTGATTCCTCGCCAATGCTACTACTAAAAGCGTTAGACATTGAACAGTATCCTAGTATTGGCTCAAAGGTATCTCGCATTCTTTTGCAACATTTATCAGAGCAGCCACGAGCGTTGTTGGGTAAAAGAGATGCCGTTGAGTTTAATGCGCTCGAGATGTTGTCTCAGAACAATGATGCACTTAATGCGGAGAGTATATTCTTCTGGAGAGAGCAGTGTTACTTTTACCAGAAGATCGACAACGATCCGGATAAGGCAGCGGCTCTTTTACCAAACGTGTCGGATTTTAGCAAATTGCTGGTGACTACATGCAATGCACAAAGCGATGTCTTCTTTATCGCGCAGCAATTGCTGGAATTTGGACATTTGTTGGATTTTCAAGATGAGTTTGGGCGACGCAATCTACTCGATTTCCTGCGTACGTGTTTGTAATCAAGTGTATCTCGTATTGCTCTCGTCGAACCACTAATGTTGTTTGTGCGTGTGCTGTGGTACAGAAAAGCTCTTGCGCGATCTGGAAACTGATAGTCAGCTGATCAAGGGCATAATGGAGTTGATGGCGTTTGTGTACTCTGGAAGTTCGGAGCAAGAGTTTATTCAGGTTGTTGCCGAAATTGTTTCTGATATGTATGATGCTGTGGAGGCAGGCAACCAAGAAATATCTTCACAGCAAGAAGACACTGAGTCTGCTTTGTTGCAACAAGAGCCGTCGGCTGAAGATGACGCGGCAGCGCTCAGCTTTGGTCCTCAATTGCTTAAACTGAGTGAGGAAGAGCGCGAAGCGGCTGAGATTAAATTTGAAGAGCTAGAAAAGCACCTCGAAACACTCGAGTTTGACTCGGACGAGTACAATAAGGTTCAAGCAGAAATGATGAAAGTGGAGGCGCTTCTGCAAGATCCAAGGGTACTAAGCTGGCTTCGTTGTCTCGAGATTGTGGCTCAGCTGCTTAAACTTACGTCGCACAATCTGAGCGATCCTGTTGTCGATGGAATGGGTCGTTACATTCTTCCTGCAATTGACAGTGACGTGCCAGCACTGCGTGAAGCTGGTCTGGAGAACCTCGGACTATTTTGTCTGCTTGATAAGCGTATTGCAGAGCGCTATTTGATCGTATTCTGGCGTGCATTGAATAATCCTGAAGAAGAGAGCGAGGTAAAGCACACATGCGTCCAGGCAATTTTTGACACGGTATTTAGTTTCTCAAATCTGCAGCCGCACATATTTGGCGCCAAACAAGTTGAGGATGGCGTCAAAGTTGGAGTAGACAAAGGCTTTCATGTCAAGGAGCGTGATGGCGAGGACACAGCCGAGAATAGCAATATAGTTGCAGACAAGGATGCGAACAAGGTTGGCGACAAGGGTAGAGACCAAGACAAAGACAAAGACGAAAATATGGATGAGGATGGTGAAGCGGAACCAGTGACGGCCCCCGAAAAGCTAGATCTTGACACTATTTTCATTGGCCTGGCCCAGCTGATTACCGTGGATGATTTAGATCTCCAAAGCACTATTGTGGAGGGCTTTTGCCGGCTGTATATGATGAATCGGATTGATAATATCACAGTGCTGGCCATTTTGCTTGAGACGTATTTCAGTCCAAAGCTGCAAAACGTACAGAAGCTTGGTGAGCACGGATATCAGTCGCGCTCTCTCCAGCTGTTGAGCATCTTCTTTCCAGCTTTTGTCATGGCTACAGCAACAAACTGCATGCTTTTGGAGGAAGCCACGACTCATTTGATCCAGAAATCAATGGAAAGGTTGGAGAACGGTTCTCTGCTTGATTTGGGTGCTTGTGCTAAATACGTCATGCATCTGTTGAGCCACAACAGACAAGAGGAAGAGGCAGCAATGCAGGTGTCTAAAAAGAAACGAACAAAGAAAGTAGAACGACGGCGATGTGCACATCATAACAGAATTGGCATTACGATATGCCTGGAAATGCTTGCGCTAGGAAAAGTGGCCGCACTTCCATCTGTTTGCCAAGGTGTTGTTACTACGCGACAAAAGGCTCTTCTCAAGATGATCGCGTGGGTTGAAGTCACGGTTGACGAGCAACGGTCTGCCTCGTTGTTCAAGTATTTGCTGCAAGAAATCACTTCATCGTGCTTTGGCTCTCAGAAAGGTTTGCTTCGAAGCGCAGAGGCGGCATTAAAACGCACTGCTGCGAGCTATCTCGAGCAAAGTAGGGACCAAGGTGATGCTGACCAGCATACGGTCGCTCTGGAACAAGATCAGAAATGGGCTTACGGTCTTGTTAAAGAGCGTGAAGAGGTACTGGAAAAGGTACTACTGATGGCGAGTGCTGAGCACGAGAAGTGGCTGAAAAAACAGGAGAGAAAGAAAAAACTTCAGCGAAGAAGGACGGCTCGATATGTCTCATCTGATTCTGCGGACTCGAGTGAGAGCGATGAGATTGGCGAGGAAGAACCAGCCGCTGCGCCAATACGCCGTGAGCTTTCATCTCGTCGTAGCAAGACTGCAGCCGTGAATCGAATGCAGGAGAAGGAAGGTGAGTTTGAGGCAAAAATAAAGCAGGCTTTGCAAGACGATGATGCGGACGCCGACGACGACGAGGAAGTTGAGGAAGAGGAGAGCGAGTTGGAAGAGGAAGAGGAAGAAGAGTCGGAGGAAGATGCGCCGACGTCGGAAGAGGACGAATAAGTTGGTACCTCAAGTGTCTACTGTGACAAGTGGAACAGAAACATTGAAGTTGTCAAGCCAGCAGAGCTCTTTTTCGTACGCTACAAATGTCTGTCATTTGCGACAAGTATTAACATTGGACATGTTAATTAATCAGTAGCATAGAAAAGGACATGAAAAAAGCGTAGTAATGCATAGATATTCTCTCTTCAAAAGACATGAACGCACCTCACTACTACTACAACTACAAGTACTAAGGATAATAATAAATAGTCAATCATACTAATAGAATAGAAAGTAACTGCTGTGTAGCCGTTATCTAGCAACTACTTTTCTAGATTGTACATTCGTTTACATTGATGACACATGGCGTCATCACGGGTACGACGGAACATTCTTTCCAAACGATCCTATGTAAACGACTTAAGTAACAAAAACTTGGCTGCATCTAAAATCCGCTCCCATCGAACGGGTTCACTTGTCGATGCTTTCATCTCAAATTTTGTAACTGCCCAGTATACAAACTTCAAGATTAAACCATGTCCTTCACCCCATCAAGTCCACAACACCCAACCCATGGCAGAGGCGAAACCTGCTGGGTGGAGAGAAAAAAAGACGGTTTTTTTCCATCTCGTTTGTCCCTTGATCTCCTCCACCCAGTTCTTTAATCACTTTAGAAGATGCATCCACCACCTACTAGTCGAACGAGACCATATAATCTTCCCGTCTCTTCATCTTCATCATCATCATCACGTGATAATGTACCACTTACAGCTGAACGTGCAATGATTGATCAAATACGTTCAAAACTCGAGCGTGCTCAACGTCGATTAGCACGTCATGGTCCAAGTAGTTGTTCGAGCAGTATTGCATCATCATCTAGTACATGTATGCCATCCTCCTTATCATCAGTAGAGTATACAAAACCTCTTGTAGCGAGTGTATTAGTGGAAGATATACCAGCTATAATGGCGTCAAAAGGTTACGTCTCATCATCATCATCTTCATCTTCACGTGTGACAAGAAGTACAATGACACAATTACCTACTTCACTCCCTAAACTCTCTCGCTCAAGTCATGACCGACCATCAAGGAGTTCATTAAAAACATATGACTCGATCCAGTCATCGTACAAGTATATTCAATACAAGAGCAAGTCCAAGTATTCTCAAGAGACTGATCCACTGAATGGTGGACCTCCTCCAATGTCTACACCTTATTTAGTCTATTCTAATTCTCGTCTACCGATGACAAGATCAAATGAAACGACTAAGACAAATCATGGACGTGACAAACAAGACGATGATGAGAAACCACTTAGTTCAGCTATGCGATCAGGTCTTGCACGTCCTCCAAGCTCACGCGTGCGTTTTCAAGGACATGAGACTTTATCGCGTGAAAAGAGTGAACGTGATTATCAAGAGATGGAACGAACACAATGTCAAGAACAAGGAAAAGAACGAGAGGCACGACGACATCGAGAGAAGGACCTTCAGCATGGAAAAGCAAGTGGTCGACCCAATGGTTCTGAACCATTGTCTTCCATTGCAACAATACTTCGTGGTCGTCGTTCAGCTTCAATTGAAAATCCGCCAAAATCGGCAATTCAATTGTCGGCGTATGACAAAATGATGCAAACGATTCCAACGTCGCCGGTGGGACGTTCGCGACGCAGTTCAATTGGCAACTCGCCACCAAAGTCGGATATCAAGATCTCGGCCTTTGATGATGTCAATCCACGTCGCAGAAGTTTGCAAGACAAACAGCTTAATCCTACAGAATCAATACAGCCAAAAGACGAAGCTGTGGAGGTTGTTGCACCTCATACGACTGACCACCGTGGAAAAGTGGTTGAGCAAGTCCGTATTGAGCCAACATCAGATAGGATAGCTGCGAAAGCACCACTACCATTGGTCGTGCCGGAACCGGAAGCCCCACACAGTGCGTTTGATGTAGATGATGAAGATACGTTAACTAACGAGACGGATGATAGCTACGATTACGAGTTTTCGGACTTTGACACGGACTCGGAAGACACACCGTCTCGGTGCTTGGTTTCTGAAGCCAATGCAGGCAAAGTTGACGCAGATCCAGGCTTTGTTGAGAACAACGCAGCTGATAGTAGTCGCCAGGTTGGTGAGGACAAAGGAACATCATCTTGTTCGGCAACTGAGTTGCCTATTGTCAAGGAAGGGAAGGAAGGGGAGCGGCACCGGGTGTCAAAACTGACGGCAAGAGATCTAGCGTTGCATGCATTAGGTCGTGCAAGCACTTGCTCAATTTCGGACGTCGGGTCCCCAGTTTCCTCGGCAAATGAAAGAGATGCGTTGAATGATAGACTTACAGCAACAGACACTACAGCAGCACCAACAAACACACCACCGCCCATGTTGTACACGCCAGCGTCGTCTGCGTACCCTTCATCTCGCGCTCTTGGGCGACGAGCTCCTGCTACGACAGGTCGTGTCCGCAACAATCGAATGCCGCCGCCTCCAGTCGCAACAAGCAGTTACGTACGCCGTTCACGAGCTAGAGCGCCTATGGATTTGAAAAATCATTTGCCGCCATCAATTGGTGTGCTCTCGGATTTATCAAGTGGATCATCGACCTTTGTCATAAATCCGTCGCATTTTTACGAGGTCACCTGGAGATCAGGGGAATTTGCGTTTTCCGTCCAACGCGTGTACACGGAAGAGAATGAGTACGAATTTGACGATTGCAATCAAGAGTCTCAGCTCTTTTTACGTATGTTACTGAACACGGAGCGCAGTACTTGCAAAAGTTTTGGCAATGTTCGTGTCGGTGACGTTTTGATTCGTGTGGGCGACACGTACGTGTCGGAGCTTGGATTAGAAGGATCAGGCACAGTGCTGACGAAATTTTTTGCCAATTTAGTGGGACAAACTCCAATTCGACTCACATTTCAGCGAATGTCTCCAAGTGATTGGGAAGGAGGTGTGGAATTATAAAGTGATGAGATGGTGGGGGAGGTGGCATTTGCATTTGGATGGAAGACTTGACTGACTGACTAACTGATTGACTGCAAAATGTAGTAGCAAAAGATAACGCAATTTATCACAATTCAATTTTGGGCTTTATTAGATAGCGACTTTTTTGTTAAGGTGGGTTTTTTACTTCATCCAATATTATTATTCCCTATGGTAGGAAATAGTCTTCCATTTTTTAAATAAATTTCACAAATATGCCAAAAACGAATCCTACCTCGTAAAGGTAAAAAAATAGAGAATTGAGAACATGTAAGAAAATACAAATCCTGCCTTTTGATTGGCTAAATATATTTTATAAGCCATTTAGAAATCCGTTTTCCTTTTTCTAATTAAAAAATGACCTCGTTGTCAGTGTCACAAACGGACTTAATGCCACTTGTTAGTGCACGTGATGCTTCCTATTGGTTTGCAGTTGCATCCACACCTTCTTCTTCACGTACTGGTCGTATTTCGAATGCCATTTCAACAACAACATTATCATCACGTAGTTTACATACGAATAGTTTTCTCTATAATTGTTGTCATAGTATTCCAAATCACAGTTTTATTGAAAATGGGACAATCAATAATAAGAGGGTATGCGAGATAACAGGTCAATCATTTCTATCGGACATTGCAAAAGGAGGTTCTATGGAAGAAAGTATACCATTGTTCTCGTCTTTATATGATAGTAGCCTTTTTGTTCCAATACGACATGGAGGGACTGGATTGCATCATCATCATCAAGTGAAAGGAACGATACGACAAGCAGCAGCAGAAGAAAAAGAAGGAGAAGAGATTGATTATACAAGTAGAAATCCAAGACGAGAGAAGAAAAACCCAGTGATTATAGCAGAAGAAGTGTATGAATATCAACGGTATCAGATGGTGCTTGGTTGGGGTTCAAAAGGACATTTATTACCATTAGATCCGGATAAATATATGCGGCTCGTACATCATTTGATCAAGAAAAAACAAGAAGGAGAAGAATTAGATCAAAATGTACAATCGACAGAGAATGAAATTATGTTGGAATGGGTTCCATCCTCGACATTTCCAGATATTTTATTACCAGAAACACCAGTTTTTGAAAAACAAGGTCTTGATACTGTGAAACAACGAAGCCGATCAGCGACCAATATAGTTGTGAGACCATCAAGTCGTAGGACAAAAACGGCGACGACGACTATACAACATCATGTGACGACGAGATTTCACTCTAACAAGTCACATACTAGTCCAAGATGGGAATGGGTGAGTCCATGGCATCTTGAAATTCCACCTGATAATCCAAGTGATGCTGTTGATGGATGGCAATATGCGTCTAGTTTCTCACATTTTACACCAAGACCATTGCATCGTTCACGTGGAAGATCTATTGAATCACTTAGTCATTCACCATCAACGTACGCAGGTAAAGACCTGCCGTCTTCTTCACCATCTACCGCTTCTGGTAAACGACTGCGAGTTCGGCGACGTAAATGGGTGCGCTATCGACGCTTACGTTTCGCTCGGAATAATACGTCGAGTGGAGTATCGTCCAATGCCTTTGATGACGCGTTCCTAGATTCAATGAGCGGTTGGCTACGCAAACGTGGTCATGTGCGCAAGAACTGGAAAGCGCGCTATTTTGTATTGGAAAAGTCAGTGTTACGTTACTACGCTGATTCCTCATGCACGAAGCTGAAAGGGGAGGTGCTGCTTTTCCACCCACAGACTCGCGTGCATTATGTGGATGTTCATGTGGCTGGTGGCAGGGACGCAAGTTTTGCTGTCCAAGTAGGTCCAGAGTATACTTTGCTGCTACAGGCTGCTCAACTTCGTGACCGTGAAAACTGGATGTACTGTATCGAAGACGCACTACTCTGTCGGGATTCATACCATCCGCAAGGAACGACTACTGGACCAGGACCATTTTTTGATTTGCGTGAGAGTGTCGCTCATCGACGACTGCTGAGTGCAGAAGCGATGGCGCTCGATGATGGTCCATTTCGAGATAATTTGGGTGGGATTAGCCATGTACATGGAGGTGCAGCTAGTTATGAACTTACGGGCGAGGAAGACATCGATGACGAGAGTGAGTCGTCGTTGCAGGGTCAGAGAAGAAGCGATTACGGTGGTCGTGACAGCAATGGCAGCGATGTGCTTCGATTATGGGCCTCGTTACATGCGAAACCAGGTGGTGTGCTGAGTGCCGTAAACTCTGCGTCTCCTGCAATGCGTGTGCTGCTGCATGCATGCGATCATTTCCTCGCGAGTTCCGCAATGCATCAGCACGTAGCCGACTTTTTAACCATGTTTCGGCAGAAATACGTGCACCTGTCTACTTCCACAGTGACGGCAATGGGTGCGTCAGCTTGGACACGGCTTTCGGAGCCCTGGGCACCAGTGGGGGTTAGTGGTAATGAATCGGACAGTGATCCAGAGGTGCGAGAGGGCTCATTAAGTGAAATTCCACACGAGTTTCACAATGTCACGACCCTGCAGGATGCTCGTAGTCTCCTTGCGCTTAAAAACTATCGTTTTTTCTTGGAACGATCGGTGGAGCTCATCATGGATCATTTATCTAACGTTGCAGACCCGAAGACGCCTGGAGAGCACGGACATCCTGCTCTGAATGGGAAGCGTGCTCCTACTGATGATGAGTGGGCGCTGGCTCGTCGAGCCGCTTTGTACAAGCTAGAGCGACGCACATTTATTCCGTTACAGGAGATTATATACCAGCTACTGGGATCTGGCGTTGGACCTGGACGTGGCCAGCGGCAGGCGGAAGAGGAGCGCTTTGAGCGATCACGAGCGTTGGTGGCCGCCCAACCGCAGAGCTTTCTAGAGATTCAGCCATCACATCAGTCGCCATCCGAGTGGAAGTTGGCGATCTCATTGTTTGACTCGATGGACAATTATTCTCTACCATCAGAGAAGGCCGCTGTTCTCGTGGAGACGGCGCGGTGTATTTATGAGACTCATGCACGGGAACATGGCTTTGAGGCTGACAGCACTAGTAGCTCAAAACAGCAAAAACAACCGACGCTTATGGCAGCCGACGATTTTCTACCCATTTTTATATTTGTTTTAGCCCGTTGTCATCTACGAAGCATCATTGTCGCTCGCCACTTGATCAGCGAGACGATGATCACGGCGTTAATGATTGGTGAGACTGGGTATTATGCTACTATGCTGGAGGCTGCAATAGGATACATTGCAGCTTTTGACGGTGGCGTCAAGAAGACAGGTGGATAGCCAGCAATTATAGCAACGGCCAGTAGTTCCTAAGCTTTGTGAACATCGTCAGCACAGCAATGCTTCGCAAGAGCCAACAGGTCTACGTATACATGTTATAAATTATATGCTCCAGTGAAGAAGCACTGGTGTGGTGAGTGCAGAATCAGACCATGTGCGTGAAGCTTGCATCTACTATTTGTCACATGAGTGTGAAGACAAACGTGGCTTGAAAACGACAACGTGGTCCAGATGCTCAAACACAACCCAGCAGCAAGTGTATTATTCGCTTTGGCTAGGCACATGTGTGACCACAATGAAGTAGAAGGCTAGTACGGCTGTAGAGTGTTTGCCGTACGTGCGTGGTATGAACGGTGCTTGGCCAGAGAAAGTTTGTCGGATGTTGTTTTCGAGCTTGGACTTTTACGTTGCAACGCATGAGCACCACAGATTCATTCTTACTTGATACTGGCTATCACATCCAGCTGACATGTGAGTTGTGGCACGAAAGATGTTGGAAGTGACGACGGATCGAGTCGTTTTTGCACGTATGATGCAAGTTTACAAGAACAATACTCAGGTCCGGAAGGTTTTTCTGTCACACGTACGTTTGTCATGGAGAGGAGGGGAAATTAGACAAGACGTTTTTTTCTTGTCAGTAGGTTGAAGGGTTGTATGACCCAATGGAATGATTTCAAGATGGCTATACCCATTTACGTTGCTATAGGGGGTAGTAGACAACAGAAGAAGACAAAGATGTTTGTTCCATCTCTCTTTGCGTGTCACTTTTTGGATCCCTTTTTCATGGAAAACATGAACCCAGTCGAGACATGTGACTTGTGCTACCTTTCGTCCTCTTTTTCTTTTGATTCATATTGTTTTGAAGACGTAGGACCATGTGTCAATCCATTCATTGGAACAAGTGACGTCTACTTGATCAGTGAACCTTATCTTCAGCTCATGACGAGGCTTGCTCATAACATACTAAACTAATTGAGCACGTACATTCCACTATCAATAACAACGTTGCAATCTAGATCGGACTTGAACCTCAAAGAAGCCCATCAATTGAAAAGGCACAAAATTCACAGCCACTTGTTTCCATGCTCAATGAACTCTTAACAATAACATTGACCCATACAACGACCTCTCTGGCAAAAGATGGACGCAACACATTTGCAACGAATTACATCCTCACGATACGGTTGACATGTAGTTGCATGTTACATTGGCATAACCGTATGGTGAAGCAGCACGTTTCAGTGAGTATTCAGACCACGTTCCAGAAAACCAGTGAATCAACTGCGTCAACTTGACAACGACATTGTCACATTAGTCTTCAACATGCCATGGATTGCTCAACCACACAATGATACATGAAGCAAATACACACATAGAAACATATAGAAACTAGAAACACACACACATATACATACACAGACGAACGGACGTCTTCCTCTTATTTTACAGTCAATCTTGTTATTGATCGAAAAACGTGAAGGAAGGATCAAAGACGCGTAGGCGGTCTTTTCGCACAAAGTGACCTGTCTCTGATCCCAGTTTGAGACAAGAGTGAAGTAGCCCCAACTGATGATCGTCAATGTCACATGGCTACATCATATTCCAATGAACTCGATTGAGTTTTTAGACTCGATACTGGCTCTTCGATCACGCTATGCTTGTCTGTCATCAGTATGCAGCAATCCTCGACGTCACCATCTGTTTTAAGTCGCACGCAATGGTTTACACAGCATGGCCAGCTTATATAGCATTAGAAATCCATGTTAGTATCACACACTTTAACGCTAACACGTCCATATTTAGGATTCCATTGCTAGTTTTATTGTTGTTGTGAGCATGCCATTTCGATTGGCCTGTATGAAACTCAACGCCATAGATACAAAGACTCCCGATGCTATCGATACAAAGACTCCTTCCTTTGTCCAGCATTGAAATGAGCTCGAAGGCCATGAGTACGTGACTGACTGACTACTGCACTTCGTATGGCCATGTCTCTTGTTTGTCATTGAAGTGCATTGACGGTACAGTGTCATGTCTTTTTTGTTCATAATGGAAGATCAAATGTACAGAGACAATCCATGTCTCAACAACTTCTCTTCAAGTGCAAACAAGCCATACAACCAAACCAAGCCAAGTCAATGTATGTACATGACTAGTAATTAGTATGGTCTCAATAATAAATGACTCGCTCATAAGCCTCTACGCGCTTGAGAAACGAAAGAAGGTAGGAAAGGGTCAAATTTCTGCGCTCTCTACACTAATACATCTGGTATCATTAATATATATGTACAGATATCACCACCGGTAGAGCATTGGTGACCCTCAGCGTTCGTCTGTTTAGTCTATGATGACTAAGTACTCGTCATGAACTTCTTTACGTCTGCTGTCGTTTACGGTCACTGAGACCACTTGCCCAACCCTATCTGAGTCCTGCGATAATTGGTCACCATGCGGTGGTACAAGTGTGATTCTTGCGCCATATATGATGAGATACATACCATACATAATCCTTTGCATTTATTATAGAAGGGGGAGGAGGGTATATTTTTTCGAACACTTCCGTGCGTGATCCTGTTGAGCTGGAGTAATTTTTGGTGAGACTGTCTAAAAGGACTCGACAGAAGATCACAGAAGGAGATGCGCCTCGGTGGGTTCGTGCAAACTGACGGTGTTGTGCTGTCGTCGTTGTAGTACAGGAGAGAGTAGCACCGCGACATGCTACATGTCCAATAACAATTTTGGGCGTGTCCAAGTGGCCGTGCTCACAAGCTTGTTCATGGCACCCAAGTGGAACGACGATACGGTCGTTTATTCTTCTTGAATAGTGTCGTGATATAGATATCTATATATCTCCCACAACTAGCTAGTACATCTCACGCTTGGTTCTTCTATCTACATTACAGTAAAGACCGACCACGAGTTGATTGCATCGATCTTTCATCGTGCCTAGAAACTTCTCGTTCGTGATCAAGTATACACTGAACCATAATGTTACGACTCTAATCAAGGGTGTCCAGCGATCGGTCTATTGCTGTGATCTTTTGATGTGTCGCGATAACAAGAGACAATACAGAGGAGATGCGCTAAAGCGGATGGAGTCGTGCCGAGAAACCACACGCTTCCAACCCTTGAGCCACTGTATGTTTTTGCAAGCAGATAGCTAGCTAATTGACCTTCCTGACCTTAGTCCTTGACATCATTTTTCAATTTGGAGCGCACTTCTAAACCATCTATCATCTCTCCATCCATCAACTCGATATCCACTCCCAATGTCAGCTACTACTACAGTTCGTTCCAACCTGGTTGTGACTCCTCAGCCACGTCTTCGTGATTCGCAACAGGATCGACCATTTGTGTGTCCTGTGCCACTCTGTGGTGGTCGTTTTCATCGAAAGTTTACACTTCATGAACATATTAAGACTCACACGGGTGAACAACCATATCAATGCCCGATTAAATTTTGTGGCAAACGGTTTAGTACGTCTGGTAACTTGGCACGTCACAAACGTCTTCATTCGTTGCATAAGATTGAATGTCCAGTGGCTGGATGTACACGCATTTTTACCAACAAGGACCGCTTGGCCAAGCATCAAAAGGTGCATAATGGAAGTGCTATTCATACATGCAAGGTAAGTGGCTGTGGTAAGACGTTTAGTACGTCTGGTAACCTTACGCGACATACAAAGACACAGCATCGATCAGTGCCACTTCCAGTCTATTCATGCAATTCACGACAACAACAAAATCGTCAACAACTTCAGCTGCAACAGCAGCAGCAACCAACAGACAGGCAAGGAATCGTTTTTGATGCTGTCAATGCAATCACCATGTGATGAAGTTCCTATGGTCGAATTTGATACAATGATGGTTGTCTCACCTATGGAGGAACAACTCCAGCAATATGCATTTGTCAATACGCCAAGTGACCCAGAAATATTGTCAGAAGAGGACTTGAAAGACTTGTTTGAGTGTTTATTCTAAGATCATTCAAGTAAAGAAAGGAAGGAAGAGAAGAGGAAGATGTTTAATAGCGCTAGTTTTATAGCATGTAAAGGTTGATTGGGTATGGAAACATTATAATAGCCATCTAATCTAATCTAGCTATCAATAGGAAAAACTACTTGCACGAAATAGCGCTTTTATTTAATGCAATTAAGGTCAGACACAAGAATATATGTATATATCCATACTGTATCCTCTATCTCTTGAATATCTCTGATGATTCTCGCTATTCCATCTACTTATTATTATTATCTTATAGCTTCAAAAACGGGTTTCTATAAGAAAGTACTTGAGTTATGTATGGCGTTTGTGGGTTTTCAATTGCAATCTTCTCTCATCTTATTGTTCTTATATCGAAAGACTTCTTTTTTTTGTATCATACAAAAAAAACCTCATCCCAGATCCTATTGTGGAAAGAGAGAGAAAAAAACGACACAATCTGATCCCGTTTAAAATGATACTTGCGTATGCACTGTAAAAAGTGTCGCTTTATATGTGTGAAATACGTGTACAATACATAAATTCATCACGTGCGACTCGCGACTTGCGACTAGTGAATAAACAATCTGATTCCGCATGATGGTATCATTTTTTTAGACTAAGAGCTATAGAAGGTCCTGAATTCAGGTTTACGACTTATTAGGATAGGATCAATCAAATTTTGACGATACACGACCATCCATAGGCGTTATACTAGAGCCTGAAGAAAGCAGAGCTAGCACTGATTTAATGCTCTGTCGCAGCTTGTTCCGGACTCTTGTAAACTGGAGAGTTTCTATCTGGCAACGGTCTTTCTCCTTCTTGTCCTTCTTGTCACCACTAGCATCAAAATGTGCATCATCATCATCCACTGCAAGTGGATTAAAACGCTGTTGCTGACAAGCATCATCAGCAGCAGTAAACGTCGGGTACTCGAATGATTGACCAAAGTTGAGATAAATCTGCTGCAGATTGTATTGAAGCTCCTTTTGCATCGCAGGTCGTAAGAATGCAAGCACTTTTTCGAGACAATCCAGAATCAAGACAGTGTCCTGTAGCTGTAGAGCGAAAAATAAGAGTAACAATCGTGTTAGAATGAGACTGCTCTGTAGCAATGATGATGCTCGTTAGCTTACCTTCTTCATTGCGTCGAGATATGACTCACACTGTGATGGAAATAATACCTCGGATGTAAACACCTTCCAAAGATCAAGATTTCCAAATGCTGTTCTTGTCTCAATCTGCAGCCCGTGTTGGTGAAATGCAAGGCCAAAAAGAAGCTGCTCGACTACAAAGTACTCTTGCAATGCCGAAAGCATCACAGCAAACTTTGGCACACGCGTAATATACGCAGCAAAGCCAGCATGCCACAATGCACACTCACCGAAGAGACGAAGCAGAGCTGGACACCAGCATTTATCCTGAAATTGCGCTTGTTTGTCTTTGTCTGTATCACTTGTTGTCGGTAAAAGCAATAGTAGTGTTCGCAGCATGCCACTCTCGTGAAGCTTTTCAGTGGTTGTACGGGTATTGGCCGATGCAAATAACATGAAGTGGAGTAACTGCAAAATCGTCATTGCTAGCTCGTCATCTCCATTGCCATCACCAACACTAGCTTCTAAAACATCATGTTCGTGCTCTGACACAATCTTCTTTCTCTGGCGTCTCAAAGCACTTGGTGCAGCCACGATCTGGTGAATGTCCTGCGTAATGAGTGGGATCAATTCTTGGATGACCAATGTCATACCTTGTTGAGCACGCTGGACCGCATCCTGCTGGAACTCTCGTGACAGTGCCAGCTCAGCTAACACATGGTAAACTATATGGTGCGACGTATGCCCACCAGTTGCAACTGATTGAGTCGTCTGAAGATATTCTATTAGCTCCTTCAACCGCCACAAAGTATCTCGACATGTGTTAGGATAACGTAGAACACGGTCTCGCAAAACGTACAGATATCGAGTCCACTCGCCGCACGGTCCGTACAACGCAGTTAATGAATCATTTTCGTTTCCAGCCTCTAGAGACGGGTCTTGGTCGACAAGAAGCTTTATGATTGCAACAAGGTTGTCATCGAGACGCCACTGCTCCCACTTTTCCACAGACACGCTCTCAAAAGACGACGAGAAAGTATGTGAGGCCAAGTATTGTAGCTTCTCAACCCGTGAAGTTGTTGTGGTAGCTAAAGTTTCTGTATTCCCCGTTTGGTTGCACCATCCACCATGTTCTGGCAAGTGTCCTTCATAGACCTCGCTGAGATCATCCGGATCTTCTTGAGCTGCAAACTTCTCTACATACTCGTCCTCCTCTTCCTTTCTTGTTTCCTTCATTTGCTCCATTCCATTCACATTGCATCTTCTCTCTTCTTCTGACGGCCTTATGCCAAGAGATGACAACAACGCATCGACTCGTGCGTCTTCTGGCTCTTCCAAAAACATACGAAAAACCAGCAACAATAACGACGCTGCCAAAAGACCACTGGCCTCTGAGCTTCGTGTGATCTGAGCTTCCTTCTTATTAGAGAACGATCTCTTGTCGTTCAAAAATGCTACATTATCAAGCAACTTGGCTGTAACTGGAACCTCAGCAGCTTTTGGGCACATTGATTTCTCAATTGATATGCGTCTGTAGAGCTCCGCCAATGCTTCAATTGATGCGTCCTGAGCCTGAGGAAAATCATATTGAAGTTGCACGTACGCATCTGGTGCGAGACGATCGCTACCTTTATCATAAGATGCAGCATTACTGGAGAGGAAGAGCCCTGTGTGTTCCTGGGACGAATTCTCACCTTCTACTGCACTTTCAGAGCTGATAAAAACATCAGCAGCATTGCAAGATGACTGCAAAGATGATGAGATGGATGTAATGCTACTGGAGAGCGCTGAATTCTCTTGAAGTGCTGCCACGAGTTGCTGGATAAAGAGCTCTCGGTCGTCGTCCATGCTGATCACGATAAGAATAATGTTTGAAGGGTATATGAAATAAAAAAGGGTATTAAGTAACAAAAGCTAAGATACATAGTAGAATTTCAGAAATATGTAAATTGGATATTACATATTAATGACAAATAGTTAATTTCAATTATAGCCAGTAAGACAGGTTGCTTACTCAAGGTAGCGAACAGCGTATGGTAATGGTATGTATCTCGTCATATATGGCGCAAGAATCACACTTGTACCACCGCATGGTGACCAATTATCGCAGGACTCAGATAGGGTTGGGCAAGTGGTCTCAGTGACCGTAAACGACAGCAGACGTAAAGAAGTTCATGACGAGTACACAGTCATCATAGACTAAACAGACGAACGCTGAGGGTCACCAATGCTCTACCGGTGGTGATGTCTGTACATATATATTAATGATACCAGATGTATTAGTGTAGAGAGCGCAGAAATTTGACCCTTTCCTACCTTCTTTCGTTTCTCAAGCGCGTAGAGGCTTATGAGCGAGTCATTTATTATTGAGACCATACTAATTACTAGTCATGTACATACATTGACTTGGCTTGGTTGTATGGCTTGTTTGCACTTGAAGAGAAGTTGTTGAGACATGGATTGTCTCTGTACATTTGATCTTCCATTATGAACAAAAAAGACATGACACTGTACCGTCAATGCACTTCAATGACAAACAAGAGACATGGCCATACGAAGTGCAGTAGTCAGTCAGTCACGTACTGCAGTGGCCTTCGAGCTCATTTCAATGCTGGACAAAGGAAGGAGTCTTTGTATTGATAGCATCGGGAGTCTTTGTATCTATGTCGTTGAGTTTCATACAGGTCAATTGAAATGGCATGCTCACAACAACAGTAAAACTAGCAATGGAATCCTAAATATGGACGTGTTAGCGTTAAAGTGTGTGATACTACTAATGCTATATAAGCTAGCCATGCTGTATAAACCATTGCGTGCGACTTAAAACAGATGGTGACGTCGAGGATTGCTGCATACTGATGACAGACAAGCATAGCGTGATCGAAGAGCCAGTATCGAGTCTACCTGGCTACAAAACTCAATCAAGTTCATTGGAATATGATGTAGCCATGTGACATTGACGATCATCAGTTGGGGCTACTTCACTTTTGTCTCAAAATGGGATCAGAGACAGGTCACTTTGTGCGAAAAGACCGCCAATACGCGTCTTTGATCCTTCCTTCACGTTTTTCGATCAATAACAAGATTGACTGTAAAATAAGAGGAAGACGTCCGTCCGTCCGTCTGTGTATGTATATATGTGTGTTTCTAGTTTCTATATGTTTCTATGTGTGTATTTGCTTCATGTATCATTGTGTGGTTAAGCAATCCATGGCATGTTGACGACTAATGTGACAATGTCGTTGTCAAGTTGACGCAGTTGATTCACTGGTTTTCTGGAACGTGATCTGAATACTCACTGAAACGTGCTGCTTCACCATACGGTTATGCCAATGTAACATGCAACTACATGTCAACCGTATCATGAGGATGTAATTCGTTGCAAATGTGCTGCGTCCATCTTTTGCCAGAGAGGTCTTTGTATGGGTCAATGTTATTGTTAAGAGTTCATTGAGCATGGAAACAAGTGGCTGTGAATTTTGTGCCTTTAATTAATGGGCTTCTTTGAGGTTCAAGTCCGATCTAGATTGCAATGTTGTTATTGATAATGGAATGTACGTGCTCGACTAGTTTAGTATGTTATGAACAAGCCTCGTCATGAGCTGAAGATAAGGTTCACTGATCAAGTAGACGTCACTTGTTACAATGAATGGATTGACACATTGTCCTACGTCTTCAAAACAATATGAATCAAAAGAAAAAGAGGACGAAAGGTAGCACAAGTCACATGTCTCGACTGGGTTCATGTTTTCTATGAAAAAGGGATCCAAAAAGTGACACGTAAAGAGAGATGGAACAAACATCTTTGTCTTCTTCTGTTGTCTACTACCCCCTATAGCAACGTAAATGGGTATAGCCATCTTGAAATCTATTCCATTGGGTCATACAACCCTTCAACCTACTGACAAGAAAAAACGTCTTGTCTGCTTTCTCCTTACATTGTGCCCAGAAAACCCTCCTATACATGATCTCTCAATACAATCTATAATGACAGGGTATAAGCTAAGTTTTGGATCATCATCATGTGGACCACGTGAAACTCTCATTTTCTATGGTCTGTCTTATTTTTTGTGGTGTACACAAGTCGCATCCAGGCCATGGCTTTCTCGTTTAATGCGACGCCAGCAGCGTCTAGTGCTCCCTCTGGCTTTAGTTTTGGCACAAATACAGCGTCCTCATTGACTCCAAATGATTTTAACTTTAATAATGGTACTTGTACTTCATCTAGTGCCTTCAATCGTGGCTCTACAACGTCAGTAGGAGCTCCAGGATTTCATTTTGGTGCAACACAAGGGTCCGGTCAATCACAAGCAGGAGGAGGAGGTTTTGGAGGCTTTAGCTTGACGACACACCCAGGCAATACATGTTCATTAATGTATGTATATCGTACTTTATATGATAGTGATTCGTCATCAATTGTAAGAGCTATTAGAAGGGAAGTTAAACCGCAAAAAAGAGACAAGGAAGTCGACGAAACTAATGGAGCTCTTGACTGTGTGTTTGTATGTGTTAGAACGCCACGAATTACACTGGAAACAACATTTGAAGTACTACCGGATGATGTCAAGAAGAATATGACGCAATTTCATGCTTTTTTAAAGGAACAAGATCAATTGGATGCATTTCTTAAGACAGTCTCATGTCGTCCGATGGAGTTACTACGGGAGAATATAGGACGCTTGGAACAACAAGTACTAGCAAGACGTAATCGTCAAGATCGTCAGACATCGGCGGTTCAACATTTGCGTCAGGATGTACGGCAATTACTTCATCAAGTCGATGCGGCGACGCTTAGTCGTCGTAGTCTTGACAATAGCAATAATGGTCCTGCTCCAAACATGTATCACGTCATGCGACGTGTGGAAATGCCATCGCCGTATTATTGGGAGCTACTTGATCATTACGAGCAAAAGATGGCAGTTATCAAGGCACAGATTGAAGATGTAGAAGCACAATTGGAACCTTTTGATAACCGACAGGATGACGCGGCGAATGCGGGTGGAGTACCGGCACCGGCTCAACTGCAGCAAATTTTGATGGCACAAAACACTGCGCTCATGCAGGCTGCTGCTCGTGTGGCTGAAGTGCACGAGAAGGCTGAGGAAATGCGGCAGCTATTTCTTGCAAAAATGCAGGAAGATTTGGCTCGACGTGGTGAAAAGAACCCGGCAGCTTTTCAAAATCCGTTCGACAGACGCAAGAAAAACACCGAGGCGGACAAACGCCAGGCTATTGACAAGGTTCGCTTTCGCACCAGTGTTGCGCCTACAATTGTTGCCCCGCAGCCAGTGGCCGCGGCCCCTCCTGCTACGACGTCAGCTTTTGGATTTGGAACTACGACTCCTGCAGTAGCGACTACTCCAGCTCCTGCCAGCGGATTCAGCTTCAGTAATTTGTCTGCTCCAGCCAAGTCGGTGTCATTCAACCTCGCAGGCGCTACAGGTACATCCATCGCACCACTTGCCGCGACCACCAGTGTGACGGCTACACCCTTTGCAGCTGGATCGATAGCAGCAGCTCCTGGAGCCAGAGGATTCACGGCCCCCACAGTAGCCACAAGCGGTTTTGGCAGCCTTACGTCTTCATTCCTTTCACCTCCCGCAACCGATGGCAAGACCTCCGTCGGTTCTAAACGTGGTAGTGGCCGTGCGCAGAAGAAACGGTAGAGCACAGAAGTACTTTTGTTGCAGACGCACTTGGTAGAGAAAGCCAACACACGAATAACTGATTGGCACATTTTTCAGTTTGCAACCTCGAATGAAGAAAAGAGAAGTGTGTACTAATATCTTACCGGTCTCTCTTCTTCCAAGCTAGAAAAGAGTAAAAAATGTGCACTACAAAATGAAGTAAAAAAGCCTGAGCTACTTACAAAGTTCATTCTCTGCTCTACTACCACGTCTTCTTACGTAGAGCAGGGAATGAACTTCACGCTGCTCATGGTCTTGTTCATAGACGCCAGTACTTTCAGCACATCCATTGTCGCTGCACGCCACGTATCATCCACCAGACCTTGAGCCGTGGCGTTCGCGTCATCAGGAGCTGGGTATGCCCACATCGTATCGGGGTTCAGCGTCCACCAGAAACCACCGGCCAAGTACGGCTCCGTCGAGCCTGCCATCTGAGAGATAACGTTATTGATGATTCGCGTGCTTGTCTGCTTGTCCGTCGCGTCTAGATCACCGACGAGACCACCAAATGATGAAAGTACTACAGCCATGCCCGTGTCAAAAGCCGGACCAAACGAGTAATTCATGTTCAGCTTCACGTTCGCCAACAGATCAGCGTCCGCATACTCGACGTAATCTTCCAACAAGTTGCCGTCCGTCGTACCCTCCGCAAAGAAAAATTGTCTCGGGGTGTACGAGCTCGAGTAATACTTGGGCGCGTACACGACCTTGTTGTCGATTTCCAGCTCAATGGGGTTTGTACTCACACCAGTGAGATCCGATCCAGGCAAAAAGGTATTCTTAAGCAAACGGTCCCCGTACGCGTCTTTGTGGCTCTCACCCTGGACACCCTGGACAAAAGCTAGCCACTTGGGACATTTTTCCAGCATGTGATTACCCAATTCCGTGGCCGCTGCTGCCCAGTCCGTGTCCGATCCATCCCCCCACGTTGCGTCTGTACTCAAACTATCCTTTAGATCAATGCCAATGATATTAAAGTGCGTTGAATCACACATGGCCTCGGCCAAGTTCGTAATTGCAGTCTTAATGTCCGCAAGCTTAATAGACGAGCCGTACCATAGACCCGAACTATCATCATCCGTTGATGATAAAACATGAAAATCCAGTACAATACCAATATTAAATTGTCCCAATCCCTGTACTAACAGACCTAGTAACGTATTGTAACGTGAAGCTGTAGCCAATGCACGATTTGAATTCGTATTAATCAAATTCGTATCAATTTCCGTATTGCGCATAACTGCATCAATCGAGAGTGGAAATCGTACGGCATTAAATCGATTTGAACGTAGAAAATATCCAAACCGATACAATGAATTGCCATCGAGCGTATTGTCCCATAATCCTTTCGGTATTCCTTTATTATCTTCCATTCCTTTCCAATTAATTCCTTTAATATCAATTTGAGTCGAAGTACCATCTCCTAGGACGGCAAAAATCCGTCCATTTTTACTCAAGTAATTCGGCTGTTGACACATTTTATCCACATATGTTTTTGGATTGGTTTGTAATAAATCCGAGGTTTTATCCACTGGATTGCCATCTTTAATTTGGGTCCCGTCCGTAAATTGGGCTTCCTGAGCCGCTTCATTAGTAGCTTCGGTCTCATTCACATTATTATGTACTTGTATTCCATAATATGTCAGTCCAGTAATTGAAAGAACAGCTACGAGTATTAATGCCAACGCACCTGGCCATGTCTGTAAAAATAGATATATATATATATAGAGACAGATAGAGACAGATAGAGAATACGTTAGTGATTGTATCGATTATGATACTATATACACTTTAGAAAGCATAAGAGCAAATCATATAACAATTGAAAAATAGAGAGAATGATTGTCCTATGACCATCACTCTTACACACTTACAGAACGACGACCACGATATCGTGCTTTCTTACCAGCAAACGTCGTATCAACATCAGCAGATGCAATAATACGCTCAACTTCAGAACTACGTCCACCAGAGAAAGATCCACGACCAAAACCACTTGGACGGCCAGACGTACTCATGGTTTATGAATAAAAGGGTTTTTTTTTTCAGGGAAAACGAAACGACCCTTTTTGTGTAATTTAGCTAGACTTTTGTATGTGTTTTGCAAATAAAATTACCCTTTTTTTCAGTTCTTCTTATTTGGAGTTATGTTTTATACTGAATATTGGCAACTGACTGACTGACTGACTGTGTCTCTAAAGCATTGAAACGGAAGAGAGATTCACTTAAAATCGCTATATTTCATACAAAGAATAGTATGTTCTATATTGAAAAAAGATAGAGATAGCGAGTAGGGGGGAAAGAGGGACGTTACAAACATATTAAATAAAATATGAAACTGTTCAAGTATCTAAAGCGGCCTTTCCCGTGGATTTTTTTGTAACATTTGGATAAAATTTCACTAGAGTGAATATAAAAACTTGATTAACTCAATGCTAAAACCTACCGTTTTACCATTCTATATATAAATTAACTATTATTATCAACGAGGGACGATAAGGTTACTTAATAAAAACGTTTCATTCAATGAACCTACTACCTAAATGGATAAATTGATAACTGTGATACAATAAGTGGACTAAATGAGTCTGAACCCATTACTTAAATTTTCCAAAACGTAGCGATAGCAAAAACATACGGTCTGTATCTCACATCACTTGACGGATAAAGTATCACCTTTGCATACTCTATGTACTTGATTTACTTAAAATTAGATATCGTGTTTAAGCAACTAGTTTGACAGGTGTTTCAACCCAAATTTGCATCGTAGTGTGTTTGTTTCTTCGTTGCCTTTGTAGACTCAGTAATATGTAGCTGAAGTAACGGTAAATAATCGCCCTAATATTATATTTTATATCAGTACATTCAGAAAATCACAATGAATAAGAGACATTGCGCACTTTCATTTGAAAATGACCCATTTTAAATATCTTCCGGCCATCAAAGTGTATACCACGTATACAAGAATAAATTACAATCGCAATCAAAAACAATCGATCGCAAAAGTGTCTCAAAGCATTCCATCATGACCGTCAAGTCAATCGCTACATCATGCAATACGATTGAAACCAAGGAAACTCACAACACTAAGTGGTATAAGCTTCTTGTAACATTTCAAGCTTCACCTGATGCCATGCAGGTACTAAAAAATCTCCATACGTTTGTAGTTTAGAGACCCAAAACTAACTTCGTATCGTCCATCCATCTGTCCATTAATCTGTCCATCCATCCGTTCTTCCTTCCTGTGACTATCAGCTTGGATATCCACATATTAATGCAGCGTGGAGGTTATTTCTCTTTGGCAATGGCTCACCTACGCATCATTTAGGACTGCTTACGGGCTCTCCCACTGAAGTGGATGTGCTTGGCATGCGACCAGTCGGAAGTAGCCTGGATGACGCACCGTCAGAGGTCGAGGCTATCGCGGCACCACGCTGCCGTCGTCAAGTCTGGCTGCGCAATCGACTTGGTGAGCGACTTGGCTATGCAGTATCATGGATCAATGTCAACGATGTCGGTGCCGTATTCAAGGACACAAAGATCCCTATTGGCAAAAACATTCTGCAGCACAAGACAGAGTTGTATCGTGACATGAAGAGCGTCTTTTGTGGCCACTCATCCAAGCTTGAAAAAGCTTTTGGAACGCCTGGACCCTTCTGGGGACGCTCTTATCTCTTTTGGAACGGAGGACGGCCTGTCACGTTCATTTACGAGGTATTTTCTCCTGCACTAGAGAAATATATGGGCAAGGTACTGTTATCGACTTCGTCTACATGCTCGAACAAACACAATTAGAGTGCAAATGACACGAACATGTTAATCGACCTTTACTCGCTAGAAACAACGCTCACTTGGTAAATCTCATTTGTCTATACAGACCAAGAATCCAAAGTCAAAGCTCATTCTCCTAAAGCATAGTGATGCTTCATGAGTATAAAGACAGTTGGTTGTGTCCATGTATGATTTATCCATCAGCTACACTTCTTCTTGACTATGGAATTCCACTCGTATTCGCACGTCGTCTGTCTGTCTGTCTTGCTTGCTTGCTAGTATCGAGACTTATAGCGACATACGCCATCGTCCTTTATTAAAACGACGTTTCAGGACCTTGCGACCTGAAATGGACACTCGACGTGTACGAAAGCCGTGCTTTCGCTTGCGACGCAATACACTGGGCTGGTATGTCCGTTTAATAGCCTGCAATGGCTCTACATAATACAAGTCATACAAAAGACAAGATAAAGAAAAGGTGTGTCACGTTACATAAAATATCGGTTCTTCCCCGCAGAATCGACACTAGAAACAACAAATTCCAGTCTCTACCGTTGTTAAAACTCTCGGTAGGAGGACACTTGAGCTCTTCAATCTGGTTAAGCGGTAGTTGAGAATCGTCCATTTCCACGTAATTAATACCCGTCTCAAATACAAGAGACTGTTGAACTGCATTGACTGTAAGAATAAAAAGCATACAAAGCATCATCGAAAGTCCAAACAAAGAGATAAACAGGCAAGAAAACAAGGTCATTCGAAGAAAAAAAAGTGAACTAACGCTTGTAATTCGTTGGTGGTAGTAGTGGTAATAGTAACGATGGATGTGGTTGTGCATTGAAGGTAGTAAATGTAGATAGAGATCGGATACTCGAGATAACACCTGGCCGCATGCGCAGACTCATACAGACGCTTTTCATGACCAGAGCTGCCATTTTTGCTTTATGATTGGCCGTTATTGTTGTTAATTCAGTGAAAGGCTCACAAACGCTGAGTCTCGTTTTAGACCAATGGTCGTGATTAATCGATTGTCATTGGTTCATAATTTATGGAGTATACTAAACTATCAAGATACGTTTTAAACCAATCAAGAGCATGATGTTTACGATTGGAACAAGCATATCGTCTCTCATCATGAATATATCCATTCTTCCTGTATATTGAGTATCCTACGGTACATGTATCCTACGGTACATGTATCCTACGGTACATGTATCCTACGTTCAGTGTAAACCCTTGGTCGTGATAACGAGATCATGCGTGATAACGATAAATATACTTTAACATGTAAATTGGACGTAGACTTTATCTAGATTGTAAATTGTATGAGTTTCTTTGCTTAAGTGACTTTGCACTTGAGCTTGGAAACAATTAGGGAATGACGTCGATGCCTAGTACAACGTTGTTATCACGACGTTAGCTTCATCTTATTATTAAAGCTTACATGCATAGACTTGATATAATGAATCTTGTAGTATCTTGTTTCTTACCGGCTTCCTTTGTCTCGTTAGTTAGTTCTCACCGTCGCTTCTCTTCTTCTCCTGGATAAAGTTGATTACTTGGCTCAACGTAAGCCATTAGACTTTGGCTCAAAGATAAGCAACAAGATCAGTGCCATTGACATGATAACAATGAGCCCCATCATAAATTGGATGCACTGTTTAAAACTATCAGTCTCGTTATTCACGTCATTCGTGTTTGTTGGTCTCGTCCACGCAAGAATTCCAAGCTCCACGTCGGACTCGGAACCTTCGTCTATTACTGACGAATTGTTGTAGCAACATGAAAATACCAATGGACATACAAAGGATTGCTCATCTCTTACGCTCAATTTACGACGACGACGCTCAGAATTTCTTACACATGCTGGCAGGCGTTTTTTCGTCCATTCAGGGCTTCGAAACCACGGTAAAGGGTAGATCTCTTCTTCTGGCTTAGCAAACAATAATGTACGCTCATTAGAGGTCGTTATTACCTTGTATTTGCTTACTTTGACCACTTTTACGCCCATAGAGACACTTCCTGTTGTTTTCTGTGGTGCAGCCACCATTTTCAGCTCTCAAGCTCTCTCTATATGGCTGTACTCAGACTCTATTGGACAAGTCATGAATAAAAACGGTGATACTGTCAAAGTTAATTTCAGTGCCACATCAAATTATAGAGAGACCTTCTGACCTACGGCGCGTCACGCATAGCGTGCTGGTTGGACACTACGTACGTACATCTATGCCTTCTCCTTGGCCAAGTAAGCATCATGCAATTTCTTCTGCTTCTCCTGTTCCTTCTTGAGCTTTTTGCGCTGGTTCTTGGTCAGCTCCTCACCTGCAGCATTGTGTGTCGGCAATCCCTCAGCATCAAACTGCGCGTATAATTCTGGCTGCTGTTTAAACATTTCGGCCGGCGACAGCTTCATCTTTTCCATCTTGAGCGCCAACTGCTGCATCTGTACGTCCTTGCGGCTGCTATTGACGCCTGACACGGTCTCACGACTGGCTACTTCACCACCTCCTTCACGAAGCGCAACGATCTGGTTGAACACTTTCTTGTCCTTTGTCGAGTCTTGGTCCGGCACAAAGTACCCAATACGCTCAAACTGCACAGTACTGCTCATGTTCTTGGCAAACGACTCCGGGTCTACGCGCGCAGAGGCATATACGCGCTCCGAGTTCTTCGAGTCCACAAAAGACTCCCAGTCCTTCACATCGCTCGGTAGCTCCGGGACTGTGAACAAGTGCGAGTACACACGTACCTCTACCTTTGGACTGTCTGCTGGCACCCACGAAAGCACACCCTTCGATTTTGCCGAGTTTGTCCAGTCCATCTGACCCCGCACCTTGATTACGCGTCCGCTATCGTCTGTCTCTAGCTTCGTGCATGTGAAAGGAAACGCGTACTTCAGACGCACTTGCTTATTCGGCGCCACACCAAAGAAGTCCTTCGAGTCTTCTGTGCGCACGTCGGTGCGGTCAAGAAATATTTTCTGTGTAAGTCGTACCTCGTGGTACGCTTTGCCACCGTCGCGGTCGACGTCTTGCGGATAGTCTGGTACGAGCAATGATAGCGAGCTCTTGTCAGGTACATCATTGAAATTCTCAATGATCAACTCCACGGGGTCAAGCACCGCCATCACACGCTTTGATGACTCACCAAGAATATTACGAGCCACGGAGTACAGCCGCTCGATCTGGATCGTGGATTGCACGCGAGTAACACCGATCTCCTTGCAGAACTGCTTAATGATCTCTGGCGTGAAGCCGCGGCGACGAAGGCCATTGAGTGTGCCCATGCGCGGATCGTCCCAGCCACGCACTGTCTTGGACATGACGAGCTTAAGCAGTTTGCGTTTACTGAGCACAGTATAGGTCATAGATAGACGGGCAAACTCGTACACGTTGGGCTTATATAGATCGAGCTCATTTAGGAGCCAGTAGTAGGATTCACGACGCGTTTCAAACTCGAGCGTACAGATGGAGTAGTCAATATGCTCTAGTGCATCAACAATACAGTGCGTATAGTCATAGGTTGGATAGATGCACCACTTGTCTCCAATGTGCGGATGTGGCACAAATTTAATGCGATAGGCCACGTGATCCCACATATTGGGATTTGGACTAGCAAGATCCATCTTCATTCGAAGACAAGCTTCCCCCTCCCCGTATAAACCAAGACGCATTTTTTCAAATTCAGTCAAGTTCTCAGCGATTGAGCGTGAGCGGTAGGGCGATTTACCCGTCTCGAGCACATTGTCTTCATTTTTAACACCAGGTGTAGCATGAAATTGCTGCAGTACAACGCGTGAGGCCTCAATCTCTGCTTTGCTTTGGTGACACACGTAAGCTTTACCCTTATGAATAAGCTGAAGTGCAAGTTCATAAAGCTGTTGAAAGTATTCACTGCTATATGTAACTTTAGCAGGTGTATAGCCTAGCCAATGTACATTATCAGCAATAGCATGAATGTATTCATGGCTTTCAGCCTCTGGATTCGTATCATCATAGCGAAAATAAGTCTCTCGTTTCTCAAGTGGTACATTGAGTTTTTCAAACGCTTCATTGAAATTCATATTCATTGATTTTGCATGACCAACATGTAAATAACCATTTGGTTCAGGTGGAAAGCGTGTACGTACTTTACCTTGTGTAATACGTTGATGTTCAAGTAACTTCTCTCGTGTATTCTTAGCTAATACCATGTTACGTGCTTCTAGACCGGATAAAGCCATACTAAAGAGGAAGAAAAGGGGTGTTTGCTCTAGTTAGTTAGTTGGTCGTAGTTGTTGTGGTTGGGAAGAATGAATGAATGATTTAAATGGCTCGGAACAGGCCATTGGTTTTTGTACAGCGATACAAAATTCAAGTAAATTAACCTGCACTTGGAAATTCCTTTGCAGGAATAGACACACTACGACTTGATTTGCAGCAGAAAATCTTTATTGCTTCTCTTTCATGTGAAACAGATCATGCGTACGATAATTGTACTTCCACGACTAGTGGTAGAAACCGATAGAAAAGAGCTAGAGAAGCTCTTTGTTGAAAAAAAGCTCCTAGTTGCTTCTGTTTCTTCTACGTTGGGACCTCTACTTGTTGGCAAATGAGACTCGGAGTGCGTCTGTCGGTGTGAGCTTAAAACCAAAAAGTCCCTGCAACGCAATAGCGGCCTGTGCCTCATTGCCAAACTCGACAAATGCCAATCCTTTCTTGCCTGGTACCATACGAACTTCCTGCAAGACATAGGCACCAAAAAAACATTAGTAAGTAAAACCATGCGATCCTATGAGCAATTGTATCAAAACTACGGACCTTGAAACCCTGGTACTGCTTGAACAAGACGCTCAACATGTCCTTATTGCAGGAATCAGGTAATGCCTGGAGAAACAAAATCTTATTGGGAACGTTCTGCGCCAGTGGCGGTGGTGCTACTACTGCTGTTACGCTGCTGTTGTTTTCACCCACTTGCTTCTTGGTCGTCTGCTCTTGTACAAGCTTGGGCTCACGCTTCCGCTTCTCGCGTGGAACAAAAGTTCCCTCCCGTCGAGCAATAACATCAGCCTTTTCCTTTGCAAAGTGAATCACCACGGGCTTCTCAAACAAAATAGATCCATTCACGGCACGTAATGCATTAGAAGCGCTTGCAATGTCGTCAAATGTAACCCACGCTTGACCCCGTAGCCGTCGAGCGCGACCCATGACAATCTCCAGGATCTTGCCATACTGTGAAAATGTTGCATATAGAGTGGCCTTTGTACGATCAGCCTTAATCTTATCGTTTAGATTATTCAAATACAGCGTGTGGTTGGGTGGTGTATCCACCACGGACGCCGCAGCGACATCGGTCATCTTGGAGCTTTTTCGAATGAATGGAACGTAACCTCACTGCAGACTACTGTACCCCCTGTTAGGGTTATTGGTCCATGCAATGGATACATTTATTTCTAAAGACTGATAGAAAATAAAGTTACGCACGTCGAATGTTTCTGTCGAGTCTAAATTGTACCGGTATTTGAACGATAACCTATATCGAATGAAAGACTTCAATGTACCTTATACACGAAAGTTGATACTATTCAAATAAAATGCTATACTTTATCGTACATGACCTTGTAGGTCTGAAGGTCAACAGAGCTGAGCCGAATATTACCTCCTTTGACAAAATTCCCTATAATGTTACTCATAAAGGTATATACTGTGGAATAGAGTTAATACAATATACACGCTGACACCAACAGCTACAGCGGTACGAAGGTTTTAAAGAAAACATTAATGTAATTCTATCACAGATGAAGCAAAAATCTTGCGTTTCATTGCAAAAGTACTAGAAGACGTATGATGGTGTTGCCGCAACAAACAATTTATGCTTGTCATTAAATGTTTTGACATGTTAAAACAATGACGTTTTATTTTTTTGTGAATAACAAAAAAAGTCAGCACATATTATCTACAGCTTTTTTGTTTCTTTTATGTAAGATCTTATCGCGATGTTATGTAACGCTCAAAAGGTGTGGATTATACATATATAAATAGTACTTACCAACTATGGCCACGTGGCTCCCTGCTACGATGTGAACCCATTGTACACCAATAAGGGTGTGAACCCAACGTAAGAAAGATACGCCCATACATAAATGGTGTGGCAGGTGTGTAATATGTGACTGAAAATGAAAGGACCAGGATCGGACCTATCCGATTGCGACGGTTTACAGACCAAAATGGATGCCGATCGCGGTGTGACGATGAAAGGTTGAGCCCTAGATCAACTGTAGCAGCGCGTCTAGCGCAAGCGCCTACACCACTGCCTGTTATTGAGGGATCGTTGGTTTCCTCTCCTGTGACACGATTACCAATGCCGTATCACCAACAGGAGCAGGCGCGCGTTGTGAATGTTGATGCACCTCATCGTTCAGAAGGTCTTACACCTTTAGCGCCAGCTCGCCATCAAGAAGGCCTGTGCTTTGCGGCAACTACGGCAGCTCAGCGGCAACTTACAAATTGCAAGTTCGACGGCACTGAACTTTATCGTGGGTTGCGGTCTAGTTTTACGACTAGGGAAAGACATTCCTGAGACATATCAATTTGGTCGAAGCATCCTGTGGTTTTCGATGAAGCGAAGATGTCAAAGTGGATTTTCTCGGTTACTACCTTGCTGTTACGGCAGAAAGGTACTGCCATAAGCAAGTTGAATTTTGGTGGAATCAGCAAGCAACACTCGATTTTGTGATGGGACGCCTTATGGAGACGTTCAAGACAGTGTTTACGGCTGGGCAGTCGATGATGAAACTCTTTGCGCAAAAGAAGGACACAATTAGGTCGTGGGCCGAGCCAATTTCTGTACCTGGTTGCGGTCAGTAATGCAAGAGGCGGTGCAGACTCACTGGTTCTAGACAACATTGTGCACCACGCGTCGAGCGAGGTCAGGAATGTCATGAGAGCAGAGTGCGGCCCGACGCGTACCGACTACTTACGAAATGCCGGATAGCTGACTCATTTTCAACGTCAATCTAGCTTGGAAGCGGAACAGTTGGAAGTGAGATTGTCGCCACGAATGTTGAGGCTTTATCACACCGCCAAGATACGCGAAAATGCTTTGGCTGTGGAAGGGCGGAACCTATCAACCCAGTTTTTGTGGGAAGGAAAGGCACTGTCAAAATAGGAAAAGGCGGGTGGTCAGTAGAAGGTCAGTAAAGACGATATGGTTTTTGCGATCGGCGAAATTAAATCGAGCAAGCGTGGGACGCGCGTCGGGAAAGGGCGCAAGTTGGCCGCTGAGACCGTAAATGCGGTCGGTAACGTCGACAACAGTGACTTTAGCGACTCTATCCTGAATAGTGGATCAAGTCGTCACTTGGTGAACGACGTGACATTGATTCAAGGCATTGTCATCTGCGGCCATGAAGTTTACATGGCAGATGGGGAGTCCCTCAAGTTAACAAAACATGGAAGCGTGCGCTTAGCTGTCATCGCAAATGGAGAAGAAAAAACTATCAAGCTACCGGACGTTTACTTGGCATCGCAGCTTACGCGCCATATAATCTCGTATGGAATACTTGAGGAGAAAGGTTTCGGTTTGGTGTACAACGGATCGAGTCGTGCACTCGTCCGACGCAGCGACAATGCAATCACTTTCGACGTCTCTATGCACACGAATGTTCTGTACGTACAGAAAAGTGTGACAGAAGCTCGTCAAGAATAACCATCGGACATTTTCATGTCTGTGCTCTCCAATGTGGGATCGAGCGCACCAGATGGCGATGTTCAGCGTGGATCGTTGATGCACTTTCACGCTAGTTTCGGTCATCTATCTCTTGACACGATCGAGCACATGGCGAGGGTACCAGGATTTGGGATCGAAATTACCGATCATAGAAAGACGATTTGCAACTCTTGCAAAGAAGGTAAGTGTGGTGAAGCGTTTCAAGAATTGGTAGGCCAGAGGACCGGTGGGTCAAAGGGAAGGGGATCCACCAAGGAAGAGCGACCTTTAGGTAAGGGACAGAGAAACGTGGCGCTAAAAAAGGACGGGGGACGACCGTGGGATGAGGAGATTGTACGGTTTAAGCGTGGTCCATTCGGAGAAGTTAACGTGGTTAGTCTGATGGACCGCAGTTCCTCGCGGTGGACCTCAGCCTTTTCGTGGTTGCCCCTGGCCCGTCGTTGGTAGACCCTAGTCCCTCAATGGTAGACCCTGGTCTTTCAAGGTCGAACCTGGTCCCTCGTTGGTAGACCCTGGTCTTTCGTTGGTCGACCCTGGTCCCTCGTTGGTCGACCCTGGTCTTTCGTTGGTTGACCCTTCTCTTTCTTTGGTGGACCCCCAGCGCCTCGGTCACCCGTCCCCTCGGCCCCTCGGCAAGCGGAATCAAGAGTCAGGTCTCGGGAGTAAGGATGGAGTAAAGAAGTTAAACTATAGGACCATATTAAATACTACTCAATTTGCGATCTATACATCACATCATTTATCCACCGAATCAACCCTTCATAATGGCCAAAATGACCATAATCATCAACGTGAAGCTTTACCAGACAGTAGCATGTCACATATACGTAAAGATAGCGACAGCTGTGAGATTGAACTCACGCGGGTTACCCCAATTGATTTCGAGTCTATCGCCTTAACCGCTCGGCCAAGCTGTCTTAGCATCCCATCGACCACACACACTGCCGCACAACAGTACATCATTTATCCACCGAATCAACCCTTCATAATGGCCAAAATGACCATAATCATCAACGTGAAGCTTTACCAGACAGTAGCATGTCACATATACGTAAAGATAGCGACAGCTGTGAGACTCACGCGGGTTACCCCAATCGATTTCGAGTCTATCGCCTTAACCGCTCGGCCAAGCTGTCTTAGCATCCCATCGACCACACACACTGCCGCACAACAGTACATCATTTATCCACCGAATCAACCCTTCATAATGGCCAAAATGACCATAATCATCAACGTGAAGCTTTACCAGACAGTAGCATGTCACATATACGTAAAGATAGCGACAGCTGTGAGACTCACGCGGGTTACCCCAATTGATTTCGAGTCTATCGCCTTAACCGCTCGGCCAAGCTGTCTTAGCATCCCATCGACCACACACACTGCCGCACAACAGTACATCATTTATCCACCGAATCAACCCTTCATAATGGCCAAAATGACCATAATCATCAACGTGAAGCTTTACCAGACAGTAGCATGTCACATATACGTAAAGATAGCGACAGCTGTGAACTGAACTCACGCGGGTTACCCCAATCGATTTCGAGTCTATCGCCTTAACCGCTCGGCCAAGCTGTCTTAGCATCCCATCGACCACACACACTGCCGCACAACAGTACATCATTTATCCACCGAATCAACCCTTCATAATGGCCAAAATGACCATAATCATCAACGTGAAGCTTTACCAGACAGTAGCATGTCACATATACGTAAAGATAGCGACAGCTGTGAGACTTGACTCACGCGGGTTACCCCAATCGATTTCGAGTCTATCGCCTTAACCGCTCGGCCAAGCTGTCTTAGCATCCCATCGACCACACACACTGCCGCACAACAGTACATCATTTATCCACCGAATCAACCCTTCATAATGGCCAAAATGACCATAATCATCAACGTGAAGCTTTACCAGACAGTAGCATGTCACATATACGTAAAGATAGCGACAGCTGTGAGACTCACGCGGGTTACCCCAATCGATTTCGAGTCTATCGCCTTAACCGCTCGGCCAAGCTGTCTTAGCATCCCATCGACCACACACACTGCCGCACAACAGTACATCATTTATCCACCGAATCAACCCTTCATAATGGCCAAAATGACCATAATCATCAACGTGAAGCTTTACCAGACAGTAGCATGTCACATATACGTAAAGATAGCGACAGCTGTGAGACTTGAACTCACGCGGGTTACCCCAATCGATTTCGAGTCTATCGCCTTAACCGCTCGGCCAAGCTGTCTTAGCATCCCATCGACCACACACACTGCCGCACAACAGTACATCATTTATCCACCGAATCAACCCTTCATAATGGCCAAAATGACCATAATCATCAACGTGAAGCTTTACCAGACAGTAGCATGTCACATATACGTAAAGATAGCGACAGCTGTGAGACTCACGCGGGTTACCCCAATTGATTTCGAGTCTATCGCCTTAACCGCTCGGCCAAGCTGTCTTAGCATCCCATCGACCACACACACTGCCGCACAACAGTACATCATTTATCCACCGAATCAACCCTTCATAATGGCCAAAATGACCATAATCATCAACGTGAAGCTTTACCAGACAGTAGCATGTCACATATACGTAAAGATAGCGACAGCTGTGAGACTCACGCGGGTTACCCCAATCGATTTCGAGTCTATCGCCTTAACCGCTCGGCCAAGCTGTCTTAGCATCCCATCGACCACACACACTGCCGCACAACAGTACATCATTTATCCACCGAATCAACCCTTCATAATGGCCAAAATGACCATAATCATCAACGTGAAGCTTTACCAGACAGTAGCATGTCACATATACGTAAAGATAGCGACAGCTGTGAGATTGACTCACGCGGGTTACCCCAATTGATTTCGAGTCTATCGCCTTAACCGCTCGGCCAAGCTGTCTTAGCATCCCATCGACCACACACACTGCCGCACAACAGTACATCATTTATCCACCGAATCAACCCTTCATAATGGCCAAAATGACCATAATCATCAACGTGAAGCTTTACCAGACAGTAGCATGTCACATATACGTAAAGATAGCGACAGCTGTGAGACTCACGCGGGTTACCCCAATTGATTTCGAGTCTATCGCCTTAACCGCTCGGCCAAGCTGTCTTAGCATCCCATCGACCACACACACTGCCGCACAACAGTACATCATTTATCCACCGAATCAACCCTTCATAATGGCCAAAATGACCATAATCATCAACGTGAAGCTTTACCAGACAGTAGCATGTCACATATACGTAAAGATAGCGACAGCTGTGAGACTCACGCGGGTTACCCCAATCGATTTCGAGTCTATCGCCTTAACCGCTCGGCCAAGCTGTCTTAGCATCCCATCGACCACACACACTGCCGCACAACAGTACATCATTTATCCACCGAATCAACCCTTCATAATGGCCAAAATGACCATAATCATCAACGTGAAGCTTTACCAGACAGTAGCATGTCACATATACGTAAAGATAGCGACAGCTGTGAGACTCACGCGGGTTACCCCAATTGATTTCGAGTCTATCGCCTTAACCGCTCGGCCAAGCTGTCTTAGCATCCCATCGACCACACACACTGCCGCACAACAGTACATCATTTATCCACCGAATCAACCCTTCATAATGGCCAAAATGACCATAATCATCAACGTGAAGCTTTACCAGACAGTAGCATGTCACATATACGTAAAGATAGCGACAGCTGTGAGAACCTCACGCGGGTTACCCCAATTGATTTCGAGTCTATCGCCTTAACCGCTCGGCCAAGCTGTCTTAGCATCCCATCGACCACACACACTGCCGCACAACAGTACATCATTTATCCACCGAATCAACCCTTCATAATGGCCAAAATGACCATAATCATCAACGTGAAGCTTTACCAGACAGTAGCATGTCACATATACGTAAAGATAGCGACAGCTGTGAGACTTGAACTCACGCGGGTTACCCCAATTGATTTCGAGTCTATCGCCTTAACCGCTCGGCCAAGCTGTCTTAGCATCCCATCGACCACACACACTGCCGCACAACAGTACATCATTTATCCACCGAATCAACCCTTCATAATGGCCAAAATGACCATAATCATCAACGTGAAGCTTTACCAGACAGTAGCATGTCAC